GCTTGCTTTGATTGACTGATACCTCAGATAGGTCCTCGACCGGTCCACTGCAAGGGCATTCTTGGATGTGAGGATCCATGTTATCCTCAGTTAGGCCAGGCTGTGGCTCGATCCTATTGATTGCCATTGCCTGCTCAGGGATGCCGATTGGAGTTCCTTTTCCCTTGCATGCCATCTGCACTGTCCTTACATAGCAGTCGCGAGATGCGCATTGAGATACACTTACTTCCCCTATCTCTGTCAGGGTAGGGAATTTCATCTTCAGATGGTAGATTGAAGTGACTGTTTTGAAGCTTCGTAGTAGAGGTCGTCCCAGGATGCCATTGAAAGCGGATGGACAGTCCACTATTAAGAACTCAGTCATTTTGGTCATCTCGTTAGTCTCTCCCAACATGACCGGGAGCAAGATCATCCTTTTGGGAATCAAATGATCCACAGTGAAACCATACAGAGGGATGGAGGTAGGCTTCAGATCTGCCTCGTCCAGTTTCATCTTCTCGAAGGCTCGCTGGAACAAGATGTTCACGACTCTTCCATTGTTCACCAACATTCTGTGGACCTCGCACCGTCTTATTTCAAGTGTGATGACGAGAGTATCGTCGTGGGGATGATGCAATTGCACCACATCTTTCTCAGAGAAGATGATTTCCTCCTCTCTGTGAGCCTTTGTGGGTCGCGATGTCATGCTCATCACACTTATAGGGTCATGACGGGCTGCGTGAGCATACTTTTCATGGGCACCTCAAGAATTCCCTGTGAGGTGTGGTCCTTCAAAGAAGATCTCTACACAGTAGAGACCTTTGCGATCACGACGTTTCTTTCCCGGTTCCTTTTAATTTTTCTCCCGAATGGGAGCAGAGTCATCGACATACGCTTTGAAGTGTCCCTGCATAATGAGGTGCCTGACACTCATCGGTGTGGTGCTTATTATCTCGATGATAGCGACAATATTTTTTATTGTTTCTGGCTGAAGAGGGATTTTTCATGGGCTCAGGCTCTCCGAGCAAACCGGCCTCTTCTGATTTATCCATAATAGCCGATACTGAGGCATTCAGAGGGGTGTATTCACTCTTGTCACGATCGCGACGAGGAACTAGGGCATAGGATTTCTTGGGCTCGTATCGCTGCCTCTTTCCTTTTCGCTGATCGTCATTAGCCCATTTGCGATCAGCCCTCCTGTTCTCCCCCCGGTCGGGAGCACTGCCCGAAGGATCGGGGTCGTGGCGGTTGAGTGTAGCCACAAAGTTTTCAATGCGGAGGTACTTTTCAATAAGGTTGTGGAAGCAAGTGAGGGAAACATCGTCCTCAGATTGCAGCTCCATCCACAAGTTTGTCTGCGGGCGAACTCCCACGATAATGAGAGTCCGAACGGACTCTTCGGGAGTGTAAGCTATTTTGTGGAGCTCCCTGTGGAACCTGTCTATACAGGATTGGAGGGATTCATCCATTTCTTGCCTTATGTTGCTCAGGTAGCTTAGCGGCATTGAGAACTTTCTATTCGCCTGGAAGTGCTTTAGAAATATCGAGCTCATTTGAGGCCACGAGCTGACTGATGCTATTGGGAGCGACCTAAACCATCGCTTGGCATGAGAGGTAAGGGTTACCACCAAGCAATGACATTTTGCCAAGTCAGAGACTTGGTGAAGTTCCATGAGGTCGTTAAACTCGTACAAATGATCCTACGGATGGAAATTCCCATCGAATGCTCGCATGTTGGGCATTCTGAATCTCGATGGGAGGGGAGCAACTAGCACTGCAGGAGAAAAAGGAGACACCTCTGCGACCTGCCCTTGCTCATTTTGTTGAGCCTTAAGCTGATCCAAAGCTCGCTGTAGCTCCTTAATCTGAGGTAGCAAAGCTATCTGGGGATCATTTTTCGCAACGAGGGTTCGACCTCACGGTTGCGGCTGAGGAGAGACAGTAAATCGAACTCCTCCTCGCCTCGACGGGGAGCTCCGACCAATCTCGACACACGCTGGCTGGAGCCGTGTGATGGCATTGAGTGGTTCGGGGAATCTTCCGACCTTTGCGGTGGTACGAACTGACCTGCGGACAGTGAGAATCCCCTGCACGATGATGATCGAAGTCATCACTCTGGCGATATTGGGAATCTCCTCGCCTTGCACTTTTATGGGAGTGCTCGTGCGACGTGGCGCGAGACGACTCATGCCGCGACATGTCACCGAGTCGCAATGCCACAGGTATTCTACCTGGGGCACGATCGGTGTCTACTGGTCTCTCGGAGCCTTTGGGTCCGCTGTGAGCCACTTGCTTTTCCTTTCTCTGACGCGCTGCAATGCATGTGGTATGGGCTTTCGCCATTTTCCATGCTTTCATGTGACCTGCAGGCATTTTCGGCGGTGGCACTGCCTCATTGGATTCGGGTGGCACGATCTGATCCAATCGGTCTAGCCTTTGGCAGACCGTTTGGAGAGTATTATTGAACCTTTCCAGGTAACTCACGACGGCTGAATCAGTCGCGAGCTTGAAGGGATATCCCCCATGATATTCTGCTAGGCAGGTGGCACTTCGGGAGAAGTGTCCTCCTGTACTTGGGGGATCTCTTCATTGCCATAATTGGTTCGCTTAGATTCGAAACTGCGAGCCATTTGCTGTGGTGGGACCGACTAGTCAGAGATTTTCCTGATGAAGAGTAGGTACTAAATCAGGCCCTCCATCTAGCGCCAAACTGTTGATGCTGGATTTTAACACCAACTATTCGTACGTGAGAAATGCTAAGCGGACTTAGAAGTCACTTATGATATGAGAATATTTTGTTAAATAAAGGGTGAAAGGCAATGTTTACAGTGGTTTGGATGCTTAAAAGCGAATCCTACGTCCACTGATGTTGTATTAATGAGAGTAAGGTCAGGTTGTGTTCAGCAAACTGAGTTACAGCTTGGAGAATACAAGAGAGAGAGAGAGTAAGTTATTCTAGACTGAAATTAGCCAATTTCGCAAACAAGAGAGAATGCCTCTATTTATAATAGGATGAATCAAGGTAATGATTACTAAATTTGTAAGTGGGTGGGTACCGTGCAAATCCTTCTCTACGTCCCATTGCTCACCCGCCCGAGCGATTTCCTCGACTTATGCAGGGATTGGACACGTGGACGATTTCCAACCATCCACTAACCTGACATTCACCCACTGCACTAACAAGGGCATGCCACTGACGTCATTATGCGGCATGGCTGTATCTGAATGGTCGCAAAACCTTCCCAAGTTCTGACCATCCACTGCTGACAAGACTCCGCGTCAGCCCTACTTTTTCAGGCATAACAATTATTGTCGTATTCTTTTTCTTCTTCATAGAATAGTTTGTTGTTCTCTGTGTTCTTTTTCTGTTTTCAGGACATTTGCATATAATTATTCTTTTACATGCTATTTCATACACATAGATTAATCTCTTATTTAGATGCATGCTAAAACAACTATGTGTGTAGTTTATCAATTGCTTTAAGAACTGTAGTGTACATTTGCATTGATGAATGGGTTAGACTTGATCATTACCCATGCTTGTGAAACGTTTATGTTGATCTTGCGAAAAGAGAATACATTTTCATTTTAAAGATGATTTTCTGCCTGATGCTGGTTTAATATACTGAATTTTGGCTGATTTTATTGAATTTGTTTAATCTTTGGAAATGATTTGCTGCCTGATGTTGGTTTAATATACTGAATTTTGGCTGATTTTTGTTGAATTTGTTTAATCTTTGGAAAAGATAAATATTTTCATGTTAAAGACATGTTTGATGGTTGCTGTTGGTGTGTTCACTCGTTCACTTTACATTGAATTATTCTGCTTTTCCGCAAGCTTTTCATTTTATTCTGTTTAGTTTTTAAGAATGGTTAAGTTAGAACTCTTATTGTTATTGCATGTAGATGTATAGGTGCATGTGTGCCTAAATGTAATCGAATTTGGTTTATAATCAAACTTAACATTTAGGAGAAGGTAGAAGGAAGTGCCTGGAGTTGATTGCTCTAGAGAAAGCTAAGAAGAATGGTTGGAACTTCTGAAAAGGCAATAATAGCAGCTAATAAAACAGGTTGATTAATTCACTGGTTAAGTCCTAAAGTATGTTACTTCTGAAGTTTTATCAACATCTGAGATGATATGAGTCAAACTTATGCTTTCCTTGTTGACCGAATGAAATTTAGGCAGATACAATGTGTTCATCCGTAGGTGCTGCACCTGCTGATGTAATCTTCAAAGAGGAAAGAGTCTGGTATTCATCTCTGACAGTTATCACTTGTTTGATTCTTGCCTTGTTCTCTCCAAATTGAGCCATGAATTTTGGTAACCTCATGGCAAGTTCTCACATGTCAGATAATTTCTATATGCCTTTATAATTTGCACTGATGAATGGGTTACACTTGATCATTATCTATGCTTGTGAAATGCTTATGTTGATCTTGGGAAAAGAGAATACATTTTCATTTTAAAGATGATTTGCTGCCTGATGCTGGTTTACTAAAGATAAATATTTTCATGTTAAAGACATGTTTGATGGTTGCTGGTGGTGTGTTCAATCATTCACTTTGCATTGATGAATGGGTTACACATGCTTTCTTGATTTTGATTTTTGATTTTCGATTAATTCTCTCTTGATTGCTTTCTTTCTCAGTCAATTTCACTCTCTTTCTACTTTATTGGTTGGATTCTTTGTGGTTATGATGGATGATTGTTCAAAAATGTAGGAATTATGTGTTTTAATGTGGTGATGTTATGGGCATCTTTTTTAAGATCACCTAAGAGAGAGAGAGAGAGAGAGAGAGAGTTGAGTCTGAGTCTGAGCCTGTTTGATTCACCTTTTCAAAGACAAAATGCAAAACCCCAAACACACAAACGACGCAACACAAAACCACCCACTTGGCTTTCTTTCGGTTTAACAACTCAAACATAAACTCACCTCACTGATACTCAATACTTATTTCAATTTTTATTCGCTTTCTCATTCTGCTTTTCTTTCGTTTTCCTTTGTAACTCATGGGTTGACCCCCCAATAATGGAGGCCCGGCTTCCGCTTTACTCAGTCTGAGGTATGTTCTTCTTCTTCTTCAAATTTCCCCTCCATATATTTTTGTTTGTATTTCAATCCCTTGAATGTGTGTAATGGCTTTGAAATTTAAATTTAGAGTTAAGAATGTTAACTGGGTCGATTAGATATTATCTTTTATCTGTTTTTGTTTTTGGGTTTTTATTTTAAAATTTTTTGGGCTATATGTGATGCATTAATGTGTATTTTTGCTTGTGAAAAAGAGAGGATATGTGAATTTATGATTTATAGTTGAAACTATTAGACGTGTTAGTGAGATTTTGGGTTTTGTATGATTGATTTTCTGGATTTTGATTTTGTTTTGTGTGGTTTGTTTGAAAAATTGCATTTTATTCAGCAAAATAGCTCAGATGATGCTTCAGATTGATTGGTTTCTTATTTTGTGGCTTGATCAAAGTTTAATGGTCTTTTTGTTATTTAATTTTGATATCTGGGTTTAAACGGTTTATTGTGCTTTATTTCCCACTTCTGTAATTATGTAGCTAAAGTTGAAGATGAAAACGAGAAAAGGATATTTGATAAGACGCTTTTGTTGTGGATTTGTTTCTTGTAACCTTAAATCTTAAATTGAAGCTAGAAACACTTATTTGATGATTGTAGTTTTATCGAAAGTTGGTATAGACTTTGGAAAGCAGTTGCTAGGAACACAATTTAAATGAAGATTTCGCACCATTGTTGTTTCCTTTTTTGTTGTATTGTACGTGTCAGATCTAGAAGGGACCCTACTTGTTCGTAAACTGAATTGTTTTGATTGGTTCAGTTGAACTTTTAGTTCCTTTGTCTTTTGATATTAACTTTAGATGATTTTCAAGATTCTTGACATTAATGGCTTAATCCTTTTTGTCTTCATGACTTCATCCTTTGTCGCATATGGCCTTGGTTGTGAATTCATAATTCTAATGTGGATTTCCATGCTTTGAGAGCCTTCTAGGGTTTCCATTTGATTTACGTATAATTACTAATTCATTCCATGTATAATTCAGAATCTTTAGAAGTCTATTTAAGTATACATTGCCTCTCAAAAATTAAATGATTGTGCTTATAAATGAGTCACCTGCTGTTGTTTAGTGTGCAATGCGAATGCATGATAATGAATTTCTTTGTTTAAGTTGCAGAATGTATATGTAACATATTTGATCTGAGCTTTTATTGTTTGAGCATAGATCAATTGGAGAACTATCTTTCAGAGACATAAAATAGAAACCAATTTTGGTGCCTTTAAGATGCTGACCTAATGAAATTGCCCAAATTGCCCCCTTTTTAAAACATCACCATGGAAACCCACTCACATTATCAAAAACCCAGCACCCACACACATTATAAAAAACCTAGCAAATAAAACTTTGACTGCACGCCTAAGCCTCTTTCCAACTCCAACGGCTCTTTTGTATGGACTCCAACGGTTAACAAGTGCATTACAAGACCCAGAGTTTTCCGATGATTTTCTCTTTAAATAAGGGTTTCCTTTTCAACTATGATTTCAAAAGAAATGAGTAAGTGATTATAAATTTTGAAGATGGGGTATGAAATTCTCTCTTTTGTTTTTTTTTTTACTAACTCTGTGAGTTTGATTAATTCTTGATTTTGGTTTTGATTTTTGATTACGTGTGTTTTCAAAATTATGCCTATGTTCTCTTGCTTACTTTCTTTCTCAGTTAATTCCACCATCTCTCTACTTTATTGGATGAATTCTTTGTGGTTATGACTGTATATGCATGGATTATTGCTCAAACATATAGGAATTATGTGTTTTAATGTAGTGATATTCAATCTGTTACTTGAATGGCGTTTATTGCTTCATATCGTGTTTGACCTGTTGTCTCTTCCTAGTTCTGTTTCAAATTTGATTTTGTGTTGGCCAGCCTATTTTTTTATGGGTAACTTGCTCATTTACATGGCATGCCCATGTCCATGCCTATTTTTATATCTTCAATTCATTGGCTTAATAAAATGTGTTTTATTTTTCTGGTTTTAATTGTTGTTGGTTTTGGTGTCACGGGATTAATATTATGTGTGGTCCTACTCCAATGGGAGATAGGGCCTTTATTTTTGTAAAACAGTACTGAGAAATTTAAAAATTTAATTTAGTCCCCTTCCTTAAAATCAAGCCAAACACCATGTCTTGTCAACCATCTAAGTCAAAAATAATGCCAGCCCTTTCATATCGTCCCGGTAACCAAACATACCCTAAAATTTTGCCAACTGTTGGATAACTTCAAAACAATGCAATTCCACCCTTTAGTACAGTCCAATACTGTCAACAAAACACACCCCAGGATCTTATTAATCATTACCCACAAAAATATATCAGTCTCAGATATTTGATATCAGCGCTTTAATCAAACTGAAGATTTTGTTTTTGTCTCTTTGTAGTGTTCTTGTGGTGTACACAGTACATTTCTATTTGAAATAGTTGTGCATCTTCCTTCCTAGGTTGTCCATTTCATTTCATTTTCTCAGTAATCAAGTAATAAATGTCACACTTTCAACTATTATTTGTTGCAGATTTTGTATGAAGTGTAGATTATTATTAATAAAATATCATTTCACTGAAAATGGAGTGTGCATTTGTGGGCAAGTTCTGTAGTACATTGTTGGTGAATTCAAGGAGGCTCAAGATTAAGAGAAGAACGGAAATGAGAAGTCACAGCAAGTTTTACTCCTCTAAATTCAAGATTACATCAGTGCTTTCTCAAGCAAATCATAATCCTTCTTTGCAGGTCTCATTCTCATAGTTTGTTGATTTGCTGGAAGTTTATATTTTTACTTTGTTTGATGACTGAGTACAAATATCGTTTATTTACTTTTATTTTATGGTGGAAGCTATGTATAGTTAGGTATTATTTCCTGTGTGAAAAAAACAAATGAATCGTGGACAATGGAAAGTTTGGTTTTTCCTCAGTGAAGGCTATACTGTGTCATTGATTCTAGTCTGGGATGAAACGGAATCTATACCTGAAATTTCCTAGGCTCTTGGAAGAACTGGCATCGATATTGCTAGAATTTTTTTTTGTTTCGGATAAGAATTGTTGTTAAATAAAATTTGTTTCATTTGAGGTGCTTTGTGATTTAAATTATACTGATTTTGTTTATGGCAGAATGGTCGGTGATATTCGGTTGTGAAACTTTCTCTATGTCCTGTCTTTGTTTGTGACTATATGTGCCACCACCTCAATTTTGCAGGTAGCTACGGAAAAACAGGGAAGTCCAGCTGGTTTTGGTCTTGGAGAATGGGTTTGGCCTTCTCCTGGGGATGAAATCCCATTTTGGATGAACAAATTTCCCTCGACAGATGTCAGCCCAGAAGTTTCAGCTGACATAGAGAAGGACTCCAATCTTTTGCACATTATTCATGTTACAGCTGAAATGGCACCTATAGCGAAAGTTGGCGGTCTTGGTGATGTTGTAACTGGATTGGCCCGGGCATGTTTATCATGTGGCCATACAGTAGATGTAATGCTCCCTTTCTATGAGTGCATCCAGAGACAGGAGATCAAATGATTTGGAATTGATCACGACATATAAATCTTATCATGATGGTGATTGGGTTCCAATAAAAGCCTACCGCGGGTTAGTCTCGGGAATCTCGGTGATATTTATTGAATCGTCAAATTAGTTCTTCAAGGGGCAATATGTCTATGGGGTTTCATACAATGAGCTGGAGGCATACCTATTTTTAAGTTGTGCTTGCCTGGAATGGATGCAGGTTTGTGAATTGGCATGAGATATATCTCTAGTTCTGTAAATTATTATCTAGACTACACTATTTTGAAATAGATCAAAGCTGGTTATTGAATTATAAAACAAATAGAAGATTACGTGTTGAAGATTTAAGTTTTTCTGGTGTGTAAACTACTAAAACAGTGAATTTTTTTTGTATGAAGTGCATGTCTTGTCTTAATTGACAGTGTACAGGTAAAAAAAATTTCACCTGCATTCACTTATCCAACTTAAAAAGAGGTTGGGTGGTAGGAAGTGATCAAGCCAGTGACATCTCAAATCATATACTTCTTGCTTCTTTTCAAAGTTTTTTTGGAGCTTGGTATCATTTGTTGAGTCATTGTGTTCTTCTGAAATCTAACAAGATAGTACTATGTAGCAGGTGACTGGAGTTCATCCTGATATCATTCATGTACATGAGTGGCAGACAGGTGCTTTGCCCCTGCTTTACTGGGATATGTATCACCTTCTTTCGCTCAAGGTATTTTACTTTCTTTTCTGTTATCGCTATTTGTATAGAGTTCATTTCTTTAAGTTTCTTACTAGAATAAAAAAATATTGTAAATCAATCATTTTTGCGTGTAATGTTGATAATATTTATGTACTTTGCAGAAACCAAGAATAGTGTTGACAATCCACAACATGGAGCATTATGGGGAATGCAGGTAACTCACAGCTTCTTTTTCTGTTTGTTATTATTCGAGTTGCCTCATAATTGTTTTCTTTATCATGTATTCGTGCTTCTTCATCTGGATTTTTCCTAATATACAATCTTACAAGTAGTACAAATTCCCTTGAGAAGTTAAAGAAATCTAAAGAAAATTACACTCTTCTTACCACATGGTTATGCATTGGATAGATTCATGCAGTATAACAATGATTAAAAGCCAGCTATTTTGAAAACCACCCCCTACTTAACCAATTCTGTTTCAATCTAAAATTCTGAAAATCCTGTTTCAGTCTATTCAATCACCATTAATATATTATTTAACCCCCATGATTCTGCTCTCATTCTACTTCCTATTCTATCTTTTCCTAATTTTCTGTCCTCTCCCTTTCTTTCCTTCTGACTGTCCAACATCAGTTTTTATTTTATTTTTTTATCTATACAATGACCAGGATTCCTGAAATCCAGGAGTTTCAGAAATAAACTCAAATGAAAACAAGACCTAATTACTCAAGTTAAACTTGATTGAATTGTGAGAATATTCTAATGTGCTGAAATTGTTGAAATTACGATTATGTCATTGCATACGTGATAGGAAAACTCATGTTTAACTTCATGAAGCAGAAACTGATTAAACAATATACTACTGATGATCCAGTCGTCAAAATCATGTCACTTTCTTCTTTATCTCTTAAGATCCATTGACTGCATCTTGCCTATGTGCAGATCTTCTTGTTCTTATTTTCGGACACTCTTGTTTTCTATCGCTAGTAGATGTGTTATAATACTTCTCACAACAATTGCTTTTTGCTGAATAAATGAATGAAAATTTGGATTCAAAGCTAGTAGGGAGCAACATATTTTGAATTGGCTGTGCTTGACTAATATTTAAGAGTCCTCTTTTTAAGAGCTAGAAATACGGTGATGTCAGTGCAGCAATCATAGTCATCTTATTGAGGAGTAAACGTTACATCTTTGAATTTGAATATATAAATTTCAAAAGCTCTGTTGGATCTGGTAGGGTGACTTGTAATTGTTGTATCGTTCAACACTTGGTTTAGTTCTTCTGTGAAAAATGTTTTTCACAAGTATTGGCTGGTACTGGATCTTGATTTAACAGTTGGAGCCTACTTCCAGTTATGATAGAATAAGAAAATGATGGTCACCATTTATATACAATCATTCTAGAAATGCTCTTATTTGTGCAAATTGAAATCTTAGCCCAAGTCTGTTTATTTATGCATGCCTTATTAATACTGAACCAGCCTGCGAAACCAACATATAATTGCTGATGAAAATGAAAGAAAGCATTTTTTTTTTTTAATATATTTTATTTATTTATTGTTTATCTCTATCTTCATTTTCCTGAACTTATGTCTATATAGACTATTGCATTGTGGTAAAACACATTTGTAACCAAATAAAGCTATATGTAACTTGTTCTAGTCGGCACTGCCCAATCCCACAGGACTATGGCTCTACTATTCTCCTTCCAGTCCATGTGGCTAGCAATAAGAATGGAACTAGAGGAAGGTAGCATTCATCTGAGTAAAAAGCCTTGAACTGGATAAGCTAAAGGTGCATGGAAATTGGGCAGTGTAAAGAGGTGATTGATGCTTTCAATGTTCCTCTTGCACATCATACATATTAAAGAGATAAACTAGATTTAAGATTTCTTATCATTAGTTTTGATCTTTTTGTGAGCGGAAGACTAAGCTATGATTTGGACCTTTCTAGGAACTATTTCTCTATGTATCATTTTAGAGCATTAAATACTTGGATTTCTAGGGCATCAAGCAGACTGTTGGAATAAGAATTCTTTGAAAAACTTCCAGGCTTCTCAGCGATTCAAAATCAATGGTCTTCGTATATCCAAAACCTGCGTCACACGCATAGGCACATACTCCAATAAAAAGTGAACTGCAGAGATTGAATTTAAGTTGAATGTTAATGTATCCGTTTCCACAAACAGTGCAAACTAGTGCATGGACTTACTCCTTAAATCTTTTGCCTAACCGAGTGTGTAATTCTTCTTCTTCAGTACAGTCTCTCCAACGTATCTTAAAGAGACACTTTGCTCTGGATGGCTTGCAAGCACATTAATAAGAAATCGCGACAAGTGAGTTTTTCAATACATTTTGCTTATATGTATTTATATTTTTTTCAGTACTTGGATTTAAAATCTTAACATTCCTGTCAAGTGCATATGTTGGCAACATAATACAGTTGTAGCTACTAGAGCCATTAATCAGATGATTTCCTTATAGTTAATGACTGTTATAGCTTTGATATTGGTTCTCTTTCCTAATACATTGTAGTACCTCCATCTGTTATCAATTGAAAAATGTTAAATTGCCTGTACACCAGCTTACTGTCTATAGAATCTACTTTAGACATTTACTCCTTAGTATTGTTAAAATATCAACTGATCTTGTAACATAATTTTTATGATTGTTATTAGTGTCTTAAGTAATTTCTACTATTAAATTGGATATTTTTAGTTACTGAAATTTTTATCAAATGTTAGGAATCATCATCGTATCAGTATAAAATTAAATTGTTAAATGAGTAACATAGGAAGTGACAGATTGCACTATCTAGTTAATTTTTTTAAGCAATTTGAGAATACTTATCAGTAAAAAGGAATAAAGGGTCTGGATTACATTTCTGATTAGTTTGGTCTGGAGTTTGCATACTATATGATGTTCTTGTACTTGCTACATGAAGTTTGCACGATCCTGTCCTTAATATTTTATATTTGTTTCCATAGTTTTTCTGCTAAACTTCATATTTTATACCTTACGGTGTGTGTCTATGTGTTCATATAGGTAGTTGAAAACATATTGTCTGTAGGTACAACACTAAGGGAGTACACGAAGGGGGTTGAGAATGATCTACGCCAAGTTGAGTTGGACTCTATTCAGGTTCGTGGTTATTTTGCTTTGCTGAGATGCTTTGTATGTAATGCTGTGGTGTCAAAGTACTTCAGTTGTTTTTTTTTTTTTTTAAAGTACTTCAGTTGTTTTATCTTATGTTTTTATAAAAAATTGTATTGAATCAATTCATGCCTTTGTGCCTTATCTTCGATTTCTGTGTGTTGTCCTATCACTCAGTGAGGGTTATGTATAACTGAGATGCTCTTTAATCATCTTCTTGTATCATACTTTAATTTTTTTTTCATCTATGAATTATTATTGATTGATGCTAGAACTTTTCCAATGCTGCAGGATTATATTGAAGATAGTGATAACTTGGTGTCCCTTCATGATCAAATTTGTGATTGCGATGCCATTTTGTCACAGATGGAGACTCTTCTCAGCGGTTTTCAGGTATGTTAATTCTTGTTGGGCAAGCCAGAAAAACTTGCAATCATCTGTCTTGAGATAACATCTTTTATTTGTTCTGTTGAATAAAAGTATTACAGTTACCCTTTTAAGGAATGTTTAGTATTTACTAGTTGCTAGTTCAATGAATAGTAAAGTTCTGATGTTCAAGAATTATATATGACTGATAACATTATGTATTTTCCCAATGTTGTGATTTAAAACTCCTGTTTGACCTTTAGTTCGTAAGTGCTGTATGGAACCCTCTCATGTAGTAGTTGATGCTTATTTATATAACTTTGCAACTGAAAAAGTGATAATAAAGTTGTGCAATACGGTCAACTATTTTTAGTAGTAGAACCTGTCATGGGTTGCAAATTGTTATCAAGTTGAGGAGGAAAAGAGCAAGCTAAAATTTTCTTTGTTGAGTATTTGACAGGAATCTGTGTAACAACGAATGTTGGATGCTAAAATACTTATTGCCGTCATAGCTGTTGAATCATTCCATACAATAAAATCAGGAGGTTAAGGACTTTGTAGGACACACGACATATTAGCAATGGGATGCTATTTCTAGAATTGCTCGGTATAAGCTGACAGAACTACTAGCTTCATATTTGCTGCTGCTCGAAGAAAGAAGTTTTAAAAATATGGTCTTACTTTCTGTTTATATCACAATACCCATGACTAGTGGTAAAAGCCTGTTGCAATAGCAAAAGTCACTGCTAAATGTGACATATATAGTTCAAGTTCTGAGAGCTAGCATCCACTGTACACAAAAATGCTGAAAAGGACCGTCCACTAATTTAGCCCTTCCAGGATATGAATTCATTGGTGTCATACATGATACCAAAATAATGATCCTTGATACAAGCATTATTAGGATTTGAGAATCGCACATAAGAGGCTTTATTCATTTATTTGGATAAGAACATTCAGGAATATTTCAAATATTATCCTCTCTCATTCATTCTTCTTTGCTTACATCAATTTATTCAAATTGGTTTCTTGGTGTTTATTTACAGTTTGTTGCTTAGCTTTTTAGTTGTCTTGGTAATGTTGTTTAGTTGTTCTTTGTTTTAATTGGGTCTTGTATGATCAGGATTACTAACATTTTTAGAAATTGTGTTCCAGTCTGAAACTGGTTCTATAAGTTCAGACATAAAAATACTCTAGGAGAAGTCAATGGATATGGGTCTGAAGATGAAGAATCGCAAGGTATGGTTTCTAGTGGGGAAGTTTTGTATCCCAGAAAATTCTGCTGTTATCCTTAATCTTAATGGAGGCTGTGATGGTTGTCAAGGAGCGACATCCACATCTGTTATTTTAATAAAATTAGTTTTGTCCTCTGAATTTTGTAGCATATGTGTTCTGTATTGGAAATATTAACCCTTGCCTTCTATTATTAAAATATTTGTGCCTACCTTTTTCCCTTTTCCTGGTGTGTGTGGGGTGAACAAGGACGAACTCTGTGCCTATGAGTATCATTTTTGAGAATATGCTGCTCGTCAGATAGTTAATTAATTGAGTAACAGCATCAGTAGTTCTACAAAAAGATCTTATGCTTTTGAAGTACTTTATTAAGCAAGATAATCAATGGGAAGGGGTTTTGGGTTAATTTTGTGCTATTGACTTTGATTTTTGAATTGTCCTGAGCTTTGTTTGAGCCTTTCATTCTGTTGTATAGGGTTTTTTTTTTTTTTTTTTTTTTTTGTGATCCTCTAAATGGATCCTAACTTTTGTGGACAATTTGTTCACTCTTCTGTCATTAATGTTTCAATCAATAGTATTCTCTTTGTTTCTTTCTTCTCCAAAAAAAACAAAAAAAACAAAAAAAACAAAAAAAATTGTATATCACATCCGAAAAGTTTTGTTTTTATATGGTAGGATTAATAGAGGGACCTCTGAGTGTTTTTTTGTTTCTCTTACAATAAATTATTTCACGTGAATTTGCAAAAAAAAAAAAAGTGTTGATATTTTATTTGGTTGTTTTGATTAGAAAGCAATTGCCATGTAGATTATCAACATGTGGACTGACTAGGATACAAAAATCTAAGTTTCAATTGTTGTTCTCATATGCACCTTATGTTTCAATTTCTTAAATATTTGTTGCTCATTAAGGGAAATGATTTTTATTTTGCAACTGCTCATATGTTTTCTTCCTAAAGGTCTCTTGGGTTAGTGGTGCTCTCTTTATGTGGTCGAAGTTTATGTGTGCAAGTCCTTGTCATGATTCAATTTTTGATCGATATAGATTTTAATATATCTTTTTCTCGGGAGGGCATGAGTTATAGTAGTTATAAAAAAAACGTATCATGTTTTACTTATGTCATCACTGGTGTGTTTGTGTGTAAAGGTGATGGAGAGTATAAATAATATTATCTGTCTTATCACTGAAGTTGTGTTGTCATCTTTTTAGAGCAGCTAGGTTGGTGAGGGTCATTATCAGTCTTGCATATTCCTAATTTGAGAGTATTTCTGTGCTTTGGTGGGGCAGAAAATCTAAATGTTTCTATAGCGATGTTAGTTCTTGCAACCCTTTGGGCAATATGGATGGAAAAGGATTCTGGAGGATGCAATTATAAGAGAGATTTCCTTCTTGTGGGCAGAGCTTGTCTTTTGATATCCTTATAGGTTTTTTTTAACTAAAGAATTTTAGGGTTCCTTATTTTTCATCTTTGGAAAGTGGTGGGCTTTTGTCCGGTAATGTTGGATGCTGAATTGTGTATTGAGATTGTAGAGTAGAGGCATTTTTTTACCACTGTTGTTTTGTACGTCTGGTGTTGGACCAATGGTTCACCTTATTGTATAGCGAAAAACATTATACTGTATCTTAACCCAAAAAAAAAAAAAAAAAAAAAAAAGTTTTACTGGTTACCATATTCGTTTGGAAAAGCTTTACAATACTAATACTTGTTTTTAGGGTTTTCATGAAGTCTATGTACAAGTCTTATCGATTTTAGATGGGATGCAGACCTGAAATTGAAATATAACCAATTGAAGATTGTAAAAGATTGTTTTAGCTCATTTCTATTTTGAACACTCCTTCCTTTGAACTCTATGTTCATCTCTTCTTTTTATGGATATAAAATATTTTATGTACTCCTTTGGTCTGTTTAGTCTTCTTTCTTCTTTGAAGTGCCCTAGCCCCTAAAGCTTAAATCATATTTATTGAAAGATCTGGACTTCACTTGTTCCTTTTAGTTCATTTCTTAAATCGTAACTTATGATGATTGGTCAAATTCCATAATTTCACCTTATACATGGATACACACACACACATATATGTCCTCAAGTATTTCCTTGTTCACCATAAATGTTGCTTTGTTATCCTATTTAATGTGGAAGCTACTGGTTTTCCTTTCCTTCATCATACTAACACATTTTCAGTGGAATTTTCATTTAGGTCAACAAGGAGTACATGAGAACACTTGAGATCTTAAGTAAGAAACTGAAATTTTTTGAAGTGGATCTTATGGTTAGAACTTCAAAAGCCCTTAAAGATGTTCAGCCGGAGCTTGAAAAACTAAGGCAGAAACCAACCCTCTTTCCATGTTTTTCTTCTCCACTCGCCACCCTTCTCTCACCCTCATCCTCCATCCTCCACTTTTACCATTAAACATCATCTGTCCCTCTAAGCCGCCACCTTCATCATTTCCATTACTTTTCTTTTCACGTTTTCTTTCACCAACCTGCGCTTTGTTGATTTGTTTTTGTTAATCTTTTTAGTTTGTTACGTTTCAGTTCTTCTTTGCTGCGTTTAGGGGTTGTATTTGGGTTTAACTCAAGCTTCTTGGTTGTTTGTTCTCTTGGCCTTTCCTGTCTTCTCTTTTGCTTGTTGGTGGCTGTTGTGGTGGAGTTGGTTTGTGTAGGTTGTTTCTTGGCTTGGCCGGTTTTTGAAAAAGGTGGGTGGCCGGAGTTGGATTGTTTGTGTTGTTCTTTTTTTGGAGTTGTTGTTGGTGTTGAAGTTAGGTAAGAGTAAGGGGCTGTTTGTGGTGCTGTTTTGACCGGAAATATAGAGTGGGTGGGTGGTGTAGCTTTTGTAGCCGGATTCTCACTGGTCACCGGAGTGTGGGTTCTTACTTTGGCCGAAGCTTTGTTATTTGGCTAGAGTGTTGTTTGCCATTTTGGGTCGTTGGTCATTAATTGGGTGGAATTGTTTGAATCCCTTCAATTGTTATCCATTGGTACCCTTCTTTCCCATTGGCTCATTTGGATTTTTGAGATTTTTTTCTCATCCACATTCTCTTTGGACTGGTTAAAAGGTTGTTTCATAAGTTTTTGCCACCTCACTTGTTTTTCATTGGTCCCCCTTTGATTTCTTTATCTCTTATCTCTTTGACGTCAAACTATGACAACTCAACAACCAATCATCCATCTCTCCCCTCCACCTCATCAAACTCAAGCTAACTCAGCCTGCCACGTCACCTAAGATGTCACATCACCAAAAAATCATTTTTTTCCCTCCACTTCCCAAACCTTCCCAAAGCCTTAGTTTACCTCCTGGTGGTCTTGTTCTTGTGAATTCTTTGAATGCAAGTGAGGCAAAGAGTTCTGGTGGAGTGATTAAGGAGTTGAAAGTTGTGAGTGGAAAAGCGATTGATAATGGTAAGGTTGGTTTTGTTCAAGTCAAGATGGTGAAGACCCCGAGTTCTAGCAGCTCCTTGTATGAGGAGGGTGACATTATCTTCCCAGGTGGTATCAATGGTTCTCATGAAAAAAGTGTGGAAATGTGTGATGGGAATGTGCTTGTTGATTCAAAGGCGCCTCCAATTATGAGCTATGGCGAGAAAGTGGTGAGTGGAGATGGGACTATTGGGGAAAAGGTGAATGGGGAATTAAAGCCAATTGGTATTGCATCCTGGAGAAAATTTTTTGTTTCGAAATCTAGTGCCCTAATGGAATATTTTGCACCGGAAATCCTTGATGACGGGAGGAGGATAAAGGTTATACCTCTCAAAGAGGTTGCTGATTTGGGGAAGGATAAATGGGGAAATTGTCTCGAGGGATTCTTCCTCGGTAGAAGGTTGCCTTTCTCTCTTGTGAGGGGCTTTATCGACAGGAATTGGAAGAGCTTCGGCAAGGTCGGTGTTGTCTCAAATGGGGTTGGGGGCTTTATTATGAAATTTGATAATGAGAGTTCTAGGGATGAGGCCTTGGAAGGGGGCCTTTAGCATATTGGGGGGCAGCCTCTTTTCCTCAAAAAATGGCGTCCGAATTTAAAAATGGCAAGTGAAGGCATTAGTAGTGTGCCGATTTGGGTCAAATTTAGTGAAGTGCCATTGGAGTTTTGGACTGCTAAAAGGGTGAGCTATGTTGCGAGCGCTATTGGAAAACCTCTTTACGTGGATAACATTACGGATGCTGGGGATAGATTGGAGTATGCAAGAGTTTGTGTTGAAATCGACACATCTTCATTCCTGAATTCAATGGAACTTGGCCTCCCAAATGGTGATTGTGTGAACATAGGGGTGGAGTATTATTGGAAACTGAGGGCCTGCCCTTGGTGTAAAACTTTTGGGCACAATTTGAAGGAATGTCACTTGGCCCTAAGAGTTGAGAAGGAAAGTGCCAAGAACAGGAACTCTAACCCAAGAATGGCAAATGGTGACTAAGAGGAAGGAGAATGTGTCAAAGGATGTGGTGGTGCAAGGAGAGAATGTGGGCGAGAGCTCTAGCCACAAAAAAGAGCAGCCCATTATTGAGTCGAGAGACATGGTTAGTAAAACAAAACCCTCCAATAATCAATTTGTGGTTCTTAGTTTGGGAAATATGCTGGATAATGGGGAAGTGGGTGTCAAAGAAGGTAATGAGAATGTTGAAGGTAGGATTGGAAAAGATAAGGGTGAAATGATGGGGGTTAATGTTCCTAGCGTGGTTGATTTTAACAGGGTCTATAATTGAGGTATGGGTGATGATAAGGGTAAGTGTGTTAAGGGGAATGAATGTGGGGTGAGTGTTCCTAACATAGAAGAGAGGGGATTGGAAGTAAGTAAGAGGTTGAATGTTTTGAGTGCTGGTGACAACAGAGGAGAAATAGCCCCACCTAGAAGACCCTTGATGGAAAACCATGAAGGGTGTGGAATGGGGTCTACTTCACCGGCGATTATGAGATTCGGAAATTTGATACGAGTCGATGAAAATGATGGTATTAAGGAGGGAAATAGAGGTCTTTCTAAAAGCCAAAGGAGGAGATTAGCCAGGAAGGTGAGAGAAGCTCCTAATGCCAAGTCGTCCCATGATTAAGCTTGCTGCGTGGAATGTAAGGGGTCTTAATTCCCCTTTGAAACAAAAAGAGGTTAGACATCTAATCTCTTCCAATAAAATTGCGCTTTGTGGTATTTTGGAAACTAGAGTTCATGAACCAAATTTTGGGTTACTAAGTCCTTGACATTTAGGGGATGGGATGAGGTGTAATTCATAACTATGTGTGCTGCTCTAATGGTAGAATTTGGGTTGCTTGGAATCCTAGTTTGGTGAGGTTTGAAATCATACAATCTACGACTCAAGCCATTCATGGTAAGGTTGTTATTTTGGCTCTAATTACTTCTTTGTTTGCTCATTTGTCAATGGCTCTAATGGTCTGCTGGAAAGGAAAGAATTATGGAGAGACTTGATGGGTAAAGCTTAAGATTTTGAGGAAATATCATGGGTGATTTCAATGCGATGAGATTTGGGCATGAGAAAATTGGGGGTTCTTATAGGTGGAGAAATTATGTTTCGGACTTGAATAATATGTGTAATGAGACTGGGCTTGAGGACCTTCGGTTTATGGGTAACTTTTTCACTTGGAGTAATATGAGAGAAGGGGAACATAGGATTACTACTGAGATTGATCGAGCTCTTGTGAATGAAAGTTGGGGCAGTGTGTTTGGTATTTCCATAGCCAATTTCTTTCCCCTAAGCTTTTTGGATCATTCTCCTTGTATTGTTGAATGTAGGGTTATGTCTTCACCTAGGAAAATCCCATTTCGGTTCTTCAACTTTTGGGCTCACCATGAAAGTTTAATTAGCATTGTTAGTAAGACTTGGGAAGAAGAAGTTAGGGTAGCCCTATGTATCAATTGGTTACTAAACTGAAAAGAGTCAAAGAAGCATTAAAAGTGTTTAACAAGAGGGAGTTTGGGAATATCTCGGTAAGAGTTATTGAAGCTAGAGAAAACCTGCTAAGGGTCTAGTATGCTCTTGCTTCTAAATTCTAGGGGCCAAGTGACATTCTTTCAAATTGTGCCCAAAAGTTCTACACCAAATGCAGACCCTTTGTTTCCAAGAATACTCCACCCCTATGTTCACACAATCACCATTTGGGAGGCCAAGTTCCATTGAATTCGGGAATGAAGAAGATGTGTCGATTTCAACACAAACTCTTGCATACTCCAATCTATCCCCAGCATCCGTAATGTTATTCATGTAGAGAGGTTTTCCAATAGCGCTTGCAACATAGCTCAACCCTTTAGCAGTCCAAAACTCCAATGGCACTTCGCTAAATTTGACCAAAATGGGCATACTAGTAGCCTTCACTTGCCATTTTTAAATTTAGACGCCATTTTTGAGGAAAAGGGGTTGCCCCCCAATATGCCAAGGGCCCCCTCCTAAGGCCTCATCCCTAGAACTCTCATTATCAAATTTCAGAATAAAGCCCCCAACCCCGTTTAAGACAATAACCACCTTGTCGAAACTCTTCCAATTCTTATCGATAAAACCCTTCACAAGAGAGAATGGCACCGAGGAAAAATCCCACGAGGCAATTTCCCCATTTATCCTTCCCCAAATCAGCAACTTTTTTAGGAGGTATAACCCTTATCCTCCTCCCATCATCAAGGATTTCCAGTGTAAAATATTCCATTGGAGCACTAGATTTCGAAACAAAAGTTTTCTCCAAGATGCAATACCAATTGACTTTAATTCCCGATTCACCTTTTCCCCAATAGTCCCACCACTTTCTCGCCATGGGTCATAATTGGAGGCGCCTTTGAATCAACCAGCACATTTCCACACCAACCTTATCTATCGCTTTTCCACCCACAACTTGCTGCTCCTTAATCACTCAACCAGAACTCTTTGCCTCACTTGTATTCAAAGAATTCACAAGGAAAAGACCACCGGGAGGTAAACTATGGCTTTGGGAAGGTTTGGGAAGTGGAGGGAAAAAATTGATTTTTGGTGATGTGGCATGACTAGTGATGTGGCAGGCTGACGTGCATCTTGGGTGATGTGGCATGATGAGTCAGCTTGAGTTTGATGAGGTGGAGGGTGGAGGGGAGAGTTGGTGAGTTGTCATAATTTGAAGTCAAAGAGATAAGAGATAAGGAAATCAAAGGGGGGCTAATGAAAAACAAGTGAGATGGCAAAAACTTATGAAACAGCCTTTTAACTAGTCCAAAGAGAATGTGGATAAGAAAAAAATCTCAAAAATCTAAATGAGCCAATGGGAGAGAAAGGTACCAATGGATAGCAATTGGAAGGATTCAAACAATCCCACCCTATTAGTGACCAACAACCCAAAATGGCAGACAACACTCTAGCCAAACAACAAAGTTCGGCCAATGTAAGCACCCATACTCCGGTGACCAGTAAGAATCCGGCTACAAAGGCTACACCACCCACCCACTCAACATTTCCGGTCAAAACAGCACCACAAACAGCCCCTTACTCCTACCTCACTTCAACATCAAACAACAACTCCAAAAAAACGAAAATAAACAAAACAACTCCAGCAACCAGCAAACTCCGGCCACCCACCTCCTTCCTAATCCAGCCAAGGCAAGAAACAGCCCACACAAACCAGCTCCACCACAATAGCTACCAACAAGCAAAAGAGAAGACAGGAAAGGCCAAGAGAACAAACAACCAAGGAGCTTGAGTTAAACCCAAATACAACTCCCAAACGCAACAAAGAGGAACTGAAACGTAACAAACTAAAAAGGTTAACAAAAACAGATAAACAAAGTGCATGTTGGTGAAAGAAAACGTGAAATGAAAAGTAATGGAAATGATGAAGGTGGCAGGTTAGAGGGACAGGTGATGTTTAATGGTAAAAGTGGAGGATGGAGGATGAGGGTGGAGAGACGGGTGGCGGGTGGAGAAGAAAAACATGGAAAGAGGGCTGGTTTCTAATCCTAGAGAGAAGAGAGAGTATTTTCTCTCACTAAGTATAAACACCAAGAAGGCAAAATTTTTGGTGTTCTCTTTGCTTTCTTCTTGGTGTTTATCTCCCTATGTGGTTTAAGATAAACCCCAAGAGCGGATGGCCGTTTGTAGGCTTGTTTCTTTTGATTCTTATTTTTGGGGCATGTCCCAAAATAGGCTGGTCGCCGTTTATTAGGCTTTTGTACATTTTTTTTTTTTTAATATAATTACCTTAACAAAAAAAAAAAAAAAAAAAAAAAACCTAAGGCAGAAAGCAGTTTCAAAGGTAGTTAATGGTGTTCCCAGGTGTTCACCCGAGCTGGTTTAGATTTTGACTTCTCTTATAAGCAATGATGATAGTTTTGAATAGGGAAGTACATGATGTCAAATGACCATGCAGTGAACTTTTCTTCACTGCACCTTTGTCTGCTAACAGAGCACAAATTCATTGTGACTTGTGACTATCTTCATTATTTGCAGGTTTTTGACTTCATTGTCCAGAAGCTTTATGCATTGAGAAAACCCAAAACAAACATTCAGATCCTTCAGCAGAATGTTCTTCTTAAATACAAGTGACTATCTGTTGGCACATATATCTTTTTGGTCGTTGTTATGATCATTTTTCAATATCTTGTTTCAACTCTGTAACTAGAAGCATTATTGGAGTTTATCATAACTGAACAGTTTTAGTTTGTATGACATCTGATTTATGTCATATCATTAGCTACTGATTTAAGTTTGATGCTATTAGTAGGTTGATTTTTTTAAAACCATTTTAGTTTATTTTACGTATTGCACCACTATTTCATGGTTCTTTGTCCTTGATAAGTTGTTTCGTAGTGCTATTAAATTGTCAGTAAAAACGTGTCACGATTCATTTTTAGCCTTTAATTTTTCATGTACTCATATCATTAGCTACATCATGAATTGTTGTAGTTTTGTAAATGTTTGGAGGAAGCTGGCATTTGGCCTTTTTTGTTGTGAAAAAAATTTTTAGGCTGTATATGGAGTTGAGTGCAATACTTGTTTTCTTATACCATGCTTGACATAAGGTATAGATGTCATAATTGAGATGGACCCTTAGTATTGTATTTCAAGTATCATATGTCATTTTCCTCTCATGTGTAGCTAAATAAAGATTGTTTAGTATCCAATTCTGTGAACGTGTTTGCTCTTGTTACCTGTCCTAATACTTATTCTAGTAATCAGATTTACTATTTATTATCTGAGGCTTTGGTTATTCAATTTATGTGTTTCATTTGAATCCTGCAGGGTTCATGTCGATTTTGGGCAAAAAAAATTTGCTTTTGATCTTAAGGCAAGTCTCTTCTTCTGTCATATATTTTTTCCTCTTTACTTTTAGTAATGAGCTTGTTCTTTTTTATGACACAGCTTTCTGTTTTCTGTGTTTCCTAAACCTTAAGCTTGAGGAAACTACATTTTGGTGCTTGAGGTTTGACCTAGTAACAGTTAGGTCTAGTAGATTGAGAAAGTAACGCTTGGGTCCATAACTACTAACTGCCATTATATTAAATGAACTGCGTAAGGGTACTTTAGTAATTCAATTATCTTTTATAATTAAAATATGTAATAAAATTATAAAAGTTCAAAAAATATTAAAAATATACACCCAACCCTCCCTCCTAGCACACCCCCTCCTCCATCCCACACCATCCTTGTGCAGCAGCCCCACCCCCCTCATAGCAGCCTTGCCCCAACCACAACAGAGCGCAAACCATTTGTAGCAGCCTATGAAATTGCTAGCAATAATTTTTTAATGCAAGAGTATCCCCCATCCTAGCATGCCTCAAACCCCCTCACTGTATAAACCCGTGAACCAATAGCCAACACCTCTAGCAAGCCGACAACACATCTCCGTACCCCACCCCACCCAAAGCAACACACCCTCTTACCCCACCTCAACAGCCCGCATGTAGTAGCCCTTGCAACCTACCCGCCATTTCATCCACTCAAGACAAATTATTTCACACCCAAAAAAACAAAAACAAAACTCTTTGTTGATTTCGGATTCACAAGTTTTGACTTATGTTGATTATGGATTCACAAGTTTTGACTTATGTTGATTATGTATTAGGGTTTTCAAGATTTTTAGGTGACTTATGTTGATTATGGAGTTGGAGTGCAAATTGGCAAAGTGGGTGGGTTGGGGTCTTTTTTATTTTTTTTAAATCTTTAATTTTGTAACATTTTTAGTTTTTATTTCATTTTATAACTATGTTAATTTTTTAAGTTAATTCTCATAAGACAAAATGGGGTCATTTTAGACTTCTTATCACTTTTCTTGGGCGACTCAAAAAATTGTAAATGGTAGGTTAACTAACAAGGACCAAACTGTTACTTTCTGAATTTACTGGACCTAACTCACTTAGGACAAACTTAAGGGACCAAAATGTACCTACCTCCCTTAAGCTTTTATATTGGTGTGTACTTGCATAAGTATTTGTGGATAAGGAGGAAGCTCAAACATGTTATATTTTGAAAATTTACCTTTGGATGCCATAGAAAGGTTTTGTAACAGTTTCAGAGCTTTTTCATTTGTAATCTGCATCTTCATGCCTTTTAAAACTTGATTTCTATTTATACTCAGTTTAAGCAGTTAATAACTATCAAATATTATGTTTGCTGAATATAGAGACCCACTGCATTGGTGTAGTTGTTATTGGAGCTTAGATTTAGTCCTGCTGGATTTGAATGATTTTTTTCAATTGTGCACTGATATACACTCTATGAATTGTTGTGAGACTTAAATCCTTAAGTGGTGGTTATTTTGCAAATTCGTTTCTTCTTTCCATGTTTCTTGTGCCCATAAAATGTGAAATATGTTTTCTGCATCATCTCATTTTCTATGCTCAAAATATACAAATATTATTATTCCATTGTTATATTCATTTATCAGACCAGAAGCTCTTTTTGATTTGTTTTATTTTGTTAGTTATTATTATTTATAAGAAACTCGAGTAAACTCAGATAAATTGAAGAAGTATTGAACAAGCTGTCCACCATATATCTATCATTAACAAGTCAATACAACCAAAACAAAAACTAACTAAAAGAAACGGACAAATAAAGTCTTGAATCTACAAAAACCTGAAAACTAAACTTCTTTAATCGGTCACTACAGTTCTCCCATTCTGAATCTTTATAATTAATTTTTATGTGATTTAAAAAATATTTAGAATTGAAAACACTACAATGTGTTTCAGTTCCTTTGTAATTTAGATTTAGCATCTTTGGGTTTTAATGTTAAGATTTAAATTCAAAATATATTGGATAGGTCATTTAGGTGAAATTTTGACAGTTAAGATTCCTAATTTGTTTATTGGGATTTTTAATGTTTTTAGGATAACTAAAAATTAACATTTATAGTTTGCATCTTCTTGGCGGAATTTGGTGCAATCAGCCATTCGAACACATCTACCTAACTTTGGAGAAAGGGTGTTATTCTTTGATAGTGGTTATATATATATATATATATTGTTGAAGGCATGAATTCGTATAGTCCCTCCTTTCTCTTTTTCTCTTATGATGTCTTTTTTTTGTTGTTTTTTCTTTGATTCTTGGCCTAATTCTAACTTGTCCAAAGCCAAGTTATTTAATTCCAAGCAGATAGAAAGATGGTTAGGTTAACTCATTAACCCAAAATGTTAGCAGCTATTGAAGAAAATTTAATTTAAAGTATCATTTGATTGTAAAGTCCATTAGCCTTATAAGCTAAAAACATAAAAAAAACTTCTTTTTTTTTTTTTTTTTTTTTTTTTTTTTTTTTTTTTTTAACTTAATTTTTATCTCTTCTTCTAAGTCTGTCTTTCAATCTTCTTTGGAAATTTCTAATACCCATTCCTCATTAGTTGCTCTGGTTATTACAAAAGTTTTTCGAATGGGTTTGTTTAAATCAAAGCTATCCATTAGTCAAATTTTCCTTGAAGCAAGCTTTGCTTGATCTTCAAAGTTCTTATTTGAATGGGAACTACCACATCCTACTATTCATCAGTGCTTTTGTATATAAGGAAATTGACTATAAGCAGCACCTCCCGATTTTAACTTTCCATCGTGATATCACTTGAGTCAAAAATGAATTCTAGTTGTCTTTTCAATTAGTGATAATCACTTGTAGAGTCGAAAATGAATTTTTGGGTGCCTTTCAAGTTGGAGTCCTATACACACACACATTCTCTTTACTTGAGAGATGGCACTGTTTTTTGGCTCTAAATTCAAAAACCTGCTGCTAAGCTGCTGCATGCACTGCCATGGTTGCATGAAGCGCAGCACCCACCCACTACTCTCCAAAGTTCCACCACTAATTACAAATATGGAAATTCCTCAACAAATAACTAAGCGACATGGTTTTGGTTCTACTTATGAAATTCCACACTACCCAAGCTCAAATCAAACGCAAAGTAAAAAAAAAGGCATCAAGTAACTAGAACATTTGTACTAGATTTAGGAATTGTAGAATGAGAGAAAAGATTTAGAAGAGGAGAATTTGTAATTTTTTTTCTGTTATTTTTTATTTAGAATTTTCCTTTTAATATTATCTTGTACCCATATTTGTTACAACTATTGCTTTGTTTTCATGTTATCTACAACATTGTCTGCCCTGGTAATAAAATAACTAATTTCTCCACAATCATTGAAGTTTACATAATCAAAATTTTCTTTTGATAGCTTCTTATACCAGTAGTAAGTTCCTTTTATTTGCACTTTCTCTTTTAGAGAATCATCTTTCATATCAATTGATTTATACTATGTATCCACCTATTTATAATAAAATAGTATTTACTATAAAGCTGTTACTAACAAGAAAAGGTAACCAAACCACTTTATATAAAAGATGAAAGTGAAGATTAGCATTTATAATAAAGTTAATTAAATAAACCTTGAGGGTAATCCCTATTTAAATACCAAAATCCCAAAATTTCTATATTCTTCTGCATCAGGTGGCTTTTGAGGTAAGAGATGATGACAGTGCTTTTTAATCAAGATAAATCGTGTAAATTTGAGGTTGAAAGACTTGTTTTCTGATTGATTTCCTAGTTGCTATGACTAATTAGCTACAATAAAAAAATATTTGGAATTGTTGGGAGGAAATTTGCAATATGATCCTAAAGTTTTGATCATTGTGAGATTTTGAGTTGGAATTGTGAATGCATTTACTTGTGATCCCCAATTTAATCCCCTATACTGGTCATTGTTGTCTTCATTTCCATCGCTGATTAATGTCCTACAATTATAAAGCTGAATTCTCAGATGGAGGATTTTTTGAATTAAACAATAGGGGTTTTCTTTAATTTTTTTTTTTTTTTTTTTTTTTCTCTTGGACAATTTTTTTAATCAGTAAAAGTGCTTCAGTCCATGTTTCGTTTATATTTATCTCGTTTAACCTCTTTCTCTTTTGTATCATCGTTAGGAATATGAAGCGCAGGAAAGGATGAAGCAACAAACGACAATTGAAAAGATATCACTACCACCAAATATTAGTTATGAGTAAGTTTTCACTAATCTTATAGAAATATCTTGAGCAGCAAATTTACAATTCAGACTTTGACTAGGAAAGTCTCTATTAAACTATGCATAAGATACCAAGTGCTAAATAATTCTTGGGTTATTACTAGAGTACATTATAGTGAAGCTATAAATTATAGAATTGTAACTGACTCCAAAAATTATAGAAAGACTTAAACCAACAGCATAAGACTTCTGAATCAGAAAGAAAATAGGACTAATAGATCCTGTTAAGAAACTAGAGAATATCTGAATGAGGCCCACATCAGAAATTCCACAACAATTCTGAATTCCTCTTTTGCCTTCCAGGTTTTCTCAAGCTTTGGTTTTATAGTATGTAATCTTTCCTTTAGTGTATTGGTGACTGAGATTAATGTTGCCATATCTTTGATCAATTATTATTATATTTTACCATTTTTAGAATTATTGATTATTGTACTTTTGGTGGGCAGGCTTGTTTGCTCATACTTACTGCATTATGGCTATGAAGATACACTTCATTCATTTGACTTGGCCAGTAAAAGTGCTGTACCTCCTGTCTTTATTGCTCAAGAAAATGGTGTTGATGAACAGGACATCACGTATGCATTAAATCAGAGAAAGACTCTTGGACAAGTAGGATTTTGACTCTTTCATAAAAGTGATAGGTTCATTTTTTTAATTTTTTTTAATTTTATATTTAATTAAATTTTATGAAATTTTCATTGAAAGAATATGTATATTCCTGACTTTTTGAATCCTATGTAGACTACTTGTTTGTGCTTCTTTACTTTTTGTTTATTTATTTCTTCATCCCTTTTCTGAAAGCTAAAAGTATATGGAGTAAACTATTTTAAAGTTATTTGGAAGTTATACTGCATCCCATAAAACATCTTTATCCAAAAGATGAACTAAGAATCTGTGCCAACTAGACAGACAGAATGCTTTTAGAAAATGTACCCAATAGCATATCTTAGGTACATAGCTTTGAAAAGAAGTTTGAGCCAGGGTATTATTCAGAAGAAAATGACAATCTCAGCATATGATACAATATAGAATTAATTTTGCTCTACCATTTGGATGAAATGTCCGAAGTTATTAATTAATGACTTGTGTAACTGTACAAGGTAATTAATGTAGGCAAGAAATGTGGTGAATTGGCAAATATATGGGAAGTTGGTAATTAATGACTTGTATATCTGTACAAGGAAATCTAGTCATTAATATGTCCATTCAACTGATGAATATTGAAAATGTATGTCCACTATAATTTATCTGTTTGGTGAGATATGAGAAATTAAACGGTTAGAATGGTTTCTTAGTTGTCAAATGATGGAAAAAAATTTCTAAGAGCAATTATGTGGGAACTGTTTCATATACTTTCTGTTTGAAACTACTGGACCAATCTTGAATCAAATGATTTGACATGTTAAGTTGTTGGAAGTCTTAAATTATTTTGAAAATTGCCCTAAAAAAATCAATGTTTAAGTGAAGAAATTAATGCAATTTGTCTTAGTGGGAAGGTATTATTTTAACAGGACAAATTAAAGTCTTATTGATGCAGCGATGTTGGCAATTCGGAGTATATCTATGTATTCTTATATTTAAAGAGTTTATGATTACCTCATTGATACCGATTTGCTATATCTATGAACTATGAGAGACTTCCAAATGTAGCTCATCTTTAGTTATATTATTTTTCTCTGTTTCTTAGAGTCAGACCTCCACACAATCTTGTTGATTAATCTTTCTGCATAATTAATTTTAGAAAGCTCTTATATGATATCCAAGGTATTTTGTTCATCTCTTTCACAATTATTTTCTCCAATTTAGGTTGATGTTATTAAATTTTGTTCTGATGATTATTTTTTGCTATCTGCCTTGTGTCTGGACAGCATCAGTTTAGTCGTTATATGATGTAGATTTGGTTAAATCATTTTCTTTGTGAATGAAGCTAATAAGGAGTGGTGACATTGATACTGCATTTTGTAAATTGCACAATTGGTACCCATGGATTGTCCAGGTAGACTTTCTGAAATTCCGAGTATTTGCTGTAAATGAATATGCTGCAGTTTGTATGTGAATTAATAAGGCACATCTCTGACCTGATTCCATTATTGTTTATCTTGTTTTGTCTTTTTATAGCAGCATAACATTTGTTTATGACATTGAAGAGGATGTTTATAGCATTGAAGAGGAGGTATTCCACAGCCTCAGTTCTTTTCCTTTCACCATTGTGACTGTCTTGGTTTGTCATTAGTATGTGGCATTCGGGATTTAATTGGTCAAACCCTGCTTTGGTTATTGGATTTTCATGTCAGGTTCTTGGTGAAAATTTTTGTTCATAATTATTGGCAGAACTAGAATATTATAGCATGTTATCTACTTCTCCAGGCCAAGGTTCCTTGTGATTTTCCCAGGGCTCAGGTTAGGAAGAAATTCTGAGGATGTTGGCAGGATCAGATTGTCTCTGCTCATTGTGCTGAGCTATTTTGTGCATCAGCATCCTTTGTTCTAGGATATGTGCATATGCTAATAGGAAGTTACAGTGCCCATTTTCTTGATTTAAATTTGACCTAGTGCTGCAGGTGGATTTGTTATTTATTGATTTGGGAAGAGAAGCATCCCAAGTCTTTGAGATCATGGTTATGAATCATGTTCAATAGCTTTTGCAATGAAATTCTTCCCTTTACTTGTTTTCATGTTCTAAAAAGTCCACAACTAATACTAGTGTTAGATAACAAGTTTCTGTGCTTTGCCATTTTATTCTCCTAAGACTGATTATTAGTGAAACTGGAAGGCCAGTGCCTTCCAAAAGAACGATACTTAATTTATCCAAATTATAACAGTGAATTTTGCTTTCTGAAGGATGATAAATCTTCTACTTGTTTTCTACTGCACTATCGAAGTGTATCGAGTTAGTACGGGTATAATTTTCTTCCTTATTGTGTTTCTTAGTGACTTCATGTTGCAGAAAACCAACCAAATAGCTTCATATTAGAATTTTTTTTTTTGTTTTATTAGCAAGGAATAGTTCCATATTTTGGCTTCATCTCAATGCATTCCCTCATGCCTCGAATTCCCTTTTCGTCTAAATTAATATAGAAAAAAGTTTATGATATTTCTTTAAAATGTGTCTATATCATATTTGAAAACTTGTTAAACACACATGGTTATCCAGATTTATATTACTCTCACGATCACATCTTTGATCATTCTTAGGTTATAAAGTAATTTTAAGGATGTCTTTTTTCTTAACTCAAAAAGGATTGGGCTGCTGGAGTCTCTTAATTTCTGAACTCCCAGGTCTTTTATTTTGTGGATTGCTATTCCACCTCTTTACGAATCAATTCTACTTTAATAAACATTTTCATGGCTTAAAAAAAAAAGTTAAATGTTTTCATAGGCCCTTCTTTTAGTTAGTTAGGAAACCCTAAATCTTTGGTAATATTACATAATTATTATAGCTTTTGGCCTTCAGTGATGAAGAGCTATTGGGAGGAATGGGTGCAGGTTAAAGTCTTATCAAACTTTAAAAAACTCGATATTATGTAATTAGATTTTTCATGTTGCATGCAGGTTGGAGCAGTAGAGGAGGCTGTGAAGTATGGAAGGACTGAATTAGCAAAAATTTTTGGGTTGGCTGGATTTGCTGATTTGGTTCAGGTATGAGAGAAGTCTTTTGGCAGTAAGTACAATGTTGTTTGCTTATGTGAAAGCTACTTTTATTATTAAAAAAAAAAATGTGTAGGACTGTGTTGCTTTACTGGCATATGAAAAGCCACAAGAGTTATCTGTGGGTTATCTTCTTGAAGATTCACAACGTGAGGTTATCTTCTTTTTCTTTTTAAATCTGATCGCCCAATTTCGTTCATTTCTCAGCGGATCAGATTTCCATTTCAGTAATGATTTCTTAACACTTTCCTTTTGTAATGGTCTGAGCCCAATTCTTTGCCTACTAGTAACTCTAATTTTCTGATGATTGTATTAATGTTTGAAGACATTACTGAAGCTCATGAAAAAGATCATTTGCAGTTGAACACTTATTTGCAGTTGAACACTTACATTTGTTAACTTGGCACCACGCCCTTGCCAAGGTAAGGAGTACTACATGCTCCATTTCAATCAGATTACTATATGCCCCATTTCAATCAGATGAAGGAATGTTTGATATTTGTTTTTTTTTTTTTTTTTTTTGGGTAAGTAAGCTTTTATAGGAAGGGAAAATAATGTACAAAAGGCTTAAAAGTCGGTCAACCTACCTCAGGACAATCCCTAGGTTAGGAGCAAGGAATGATACTATCTAAGTCTACCCTTAATCTTCTCTTTTTCCCATTCCTCTTGTCAAAGGAATGGAACCAAGCAGAGATTAAAGAATGCAATGAATGCCGCATACCACAGGACATGCAATGGGTTAGGTTCAAAAGTATCAGAATACAAAACCCATATGCATAAGCATTAGCAAGAAGACATAGCGCTAAATCAACACCCCAAGTCTTCCAATTGCCAAAGTAGCCTCTTCTAGCACAATCACCAGCCGGGATGTCATATAACCAAATCCCCTTACACGACAAAAAACTCATCACATAACAACAAACCATATAATTAGCTCCCATGGGATGTTTTAAAAATAGACATGGGGAGACCCCATTTCTCAGCAAGTCCTCTATTGTAGTTATTCTTTATGATCTTGTTAAGGTCCATAGCTCTCTCCCTCACCACATTCTTGATAGAGTTGTAGACAGTATGTGCATCCTTGCATTCCCCACCAAAAATCTGACTATTCCTCTCTCTCCAAATAGAGTAACAGTGGCTCCAAAACTTAGTTTCCCTATAAAGTACTTTAGCTTATTTTTCCTCCACCTACTAGCTATGTGCTCAACATAATTGTTCCAAGGCCGGGTGACATACCCAAGAGAAGAGAGCTCAAGGATTTGGTTCTAAATCCTTTGAGTGAAAGGACAAGCAAAAAAGAAATGATCGATTGTTTCTTGCCCATGATTTCAAAAATAACACACATTGTTAGAAGCTATTCCATACCTTCAGTTTGTCCCTGGTCTGAAGCCGATCCTTACATGTCATCCACGTGATCATGGAGTGTCGTGGAATAGCTTTTGGGAATCATACAAGGTGATGTCACTCCACTCGGTGTTGGTGCACACGAGTAACCTCCCAAGCCGATTTTATAGAGAACTTACCGGATGCATTAGGCTTCCAAACAACCACGTCCTCGCCCTCCTTTGGATCCAAGTCGATAGAATCCTTCATGTCCATCAAAACCCAAGAATTAGCCGTTGGCCATCTCCACCTTGTCTCATCCCAAATCTCACACACCTTAGCAAGATGATGTAGCCCCGAATCATACACAATGCGGTTGCCATATCTATCCTTGAGAGGGCCTCTTAGGTGCCAATTATCATGCCAAACATAAGTTGCTTGACCATTTCCGATGATGGCTTTGATGTACTCTTTAGCTTCCCTTCTAAGCTTCAAAATGCTCCTCCAAACCTAAGAAGCATCCAAAGGTATAGGAATCTCCCAAAAGCTCTTCCTTGTCAAGTGGGTTGCTTTGATCCACTTAACCCATCCGAAGCCACTACGTAATTGATTAATATTCCAAACATGTCTCATCATGGCTGCTTTATTCCAATTCTTAGCTCTCACAATCCCCAACTCACCTTCTTCAATAAGGGCACAAACCTCTTTCCATGCAACTTTGGCCTTTGAGGTTTTCATGTCACTCCCAGACCATAGGAAAGCCCTTAACTCAGCATCAATTTCATAGAGGATCTTTGAAGGGAGCACGAAAGGAGATGACCAATAAACTTGAATGCTAAAAAGAATAGCTTTAATGAGAATTATCCGACCAGCATAGGAGAGAAATTTGCTCTGCCAAGATTGAATGCGAGCCAAGATTTTGTCCACCAAAGGTTTGCAATCAGCAAGGGAAAGCTTTTTGGTTATGAGAGGGACACCCAAATACTTCATTGGTAGCTTTCCGTCTTGATACCCAAGGATCGGCAAGAGAGCTTGTTTGCTCTCCTCACTCACCCCGGAGAAGAAAATGTTGCTTTTTGAGGGGTTTGCTTCTAACCCCGCCCAAAAAGTGAAATGATCCAATGCTTTCTTGACAATGCCAAGAAAGTTTTCATCCGCGTGGCAAAAGATCATTAGATCATCTGTAAAACAAAGATGGGTTAGGTTTACTCTTGGCACCTCCAATGGTGCTTCAAAGAAGGTTCAGCCGTTGCTCTATTTAGAAGTCTTGATAGCACCTCTATGATAATCACAAAGAGATAAGGAGAGATAGGGTCTCCCTGCCTAAGCCCTCTAGAAACGCTAAAGAATTCGGTTAATTCCCCATTAACGGCTATGGAGTATTTAGGAGTTTTGATGCACTCCTCTACCCACCCAATAAACTTCAAAGGAAACCCGAGAAACTCTAGAGCTTTAATAACAAAATCTTATCTTATAGAATCATAAGCTTTCATAAGGTCTACCTTCATTACACATCTAGCCCTTTTGGCCAACTTCCTATCATAGTGGTGGAGAAGTTCTTGGCTCAAGAGGATATTGTCCACAATTTTCCTCCCCCCCACGAAGGCAGCTTGGGCTTTGTTGACGAACTGAGGCAAAACTTTTTTAACTCTATTGGCCATAATCTTGGAGATGCATTTGTAGATGGTGTTACAACATGAGATCGGCCGAAACTCGCTACAAGATGAGGGGTTTTCATTCTTTGGGACTAAAGCAATAATGGCACAATTCACCTCTCTAAGCATCTTTCCAGACTTGAAGAAATTTTGGATCGCTTTAACAACATCATGACCTACAATATCCCAAGCTTTTTTAAAGAAAAAAGCTCCATAACCATCTGGCCCCGGTGCTTTGTCTTTACTCATTCCAAACATGGTGTCTTGAATCTCTTCTTTGGAAACCTCACTAATCATGGAGTTGGCCTCCTCCTCCAAAATAACAGGGGTGATAAGTTCCTCCATTACTTCATAGGAAACGCCCGCACACTTATCTTCGAAAAGATTTGAGTAGAAAGACACAAACTCCTCTTTGATTCTATCTTGATCACTAGTAACCGAAACTTCCCCAATTTCTAAGGACACAATCTTATTTCTATTCCTTCATCTAGCAATCGATTTAAAGAAGTAAAAAGTGTTGGCATCCCTTTCGCGTAACCATTTAACCCTAGACTTTTGCTTGGCTAATGATTCTTCGACTTTTGAAAGCTTGACCATCTTTTCCACCTTAACTTTCTCCTCTTGCAAAAGAGCACCATCAACTGGATCCACAACAAGCCTTTCTTGGAATTGGGCTAGATCATCTCTAGCAGATTTCACTATTTTCGAAATGTTCCAAAACTCCTTTCTATTTAGTCTCTTAAGCTCAACCTTCAACGCTTTTAGCTTAAAGACCAGCCTATACATGGGGTTACCCTCCACCTCCAAACTCCACACTCTCTCCACCATAGATAAAAAGTCTTCATGCTCCGCCCAGAAGTTGAAAAACTTGAATGGGGATTTCTTACCTTGAAAGTTCAGCCCACTATCAAACACCATTGGGCAATGGTCCGATATGCCCGGAGTAAGGAAGGATGCAAAAGAGTTGGGAAACCTGCTGCTCCAATGCTCATCACACATCACCCGATCAAGTTTGCACCAAATCCTTCTATTGAGCTCTCCTCTGTTATTCCAAGTGAAGAATGACCCAATGGCATTAAGATCATCAATATCAGCTTCCTCACACATGTCATTAAACTCTTCACATTGCGAATTCCATTGATTAGAACCTCCTTTCTTTTCCCCTGAAAATCTAACCGCATTAAAGTCACCTATAATAACCCATGGCTCACGTTGGCTAACATTGGCATGGTGAATAAGTTCCTTCCATAGCTCCTTCCTTTCCCCTACACTAGTCATCTCATAGACAATAGAACAAAAGAGCATGGAATTATCTTTCAAAATTCTAACCTTACAAAAAATTGCTTGAGCTGAAGTTTGGATAACCTGCACATGCAAAATATCTCTATCCCAACCCACCCAAATTCTCCCCCTTTTACAAAAACAATAGTTCTCAACCATAGCCCAATTGCAGAACACCATTTTACTAACAACATCCATATTATTCGCCCTAACCCTAGTCTCCAAAACAGTACATAAACTTAAAGTATTGTTACTAATAAGATTCCTTACCTCTTTTTGTTTAATGGGGGAATTAAGCCCCCTAATATTTCACGCAGCAACTTTAACCATGGCTATGAGGTAGTTTCGGTGGAGTTCTTGCCTTCTTTGCTAGTTTCTTCCTTTTATTCTTAGAAAGACTTCCCTTTTCCTTCTCCAATCCTTCCTTTTCATCCACGCGTACCAGGTTCCCAAACGGTTGACAAATTGGAGAGCTAGTTCCCATGTCACCGTCCTCAAACATATTCAAGGAAACATCCTTGATAGTTGGAGTTCTCTCCTCTCTATCCTCATTTGCATTCGTAGCTTCCTCTCCCAAAACCGCTCTACCACACTCTGTTTCACTTTCCAACCCTTCCTCAATACCATTCCCGCTCTTCCTCTCCTCCTCGTCAGCAACATCTCTCTTTTCCTCACCCTCTTCAGATAGCACCTCAAATTGGTTCACATTCTCACAAGGTTTAAGGACCTTACCTTCCTTCTTTCCCTCTACCTTTTGCTGACTTACTTCGCGAGGGACACTCATATTCTTCTTACTAGCAACTTATCTCCATTCTTGCACATGAGGAGAAGTCGGCTTTTTGTGTAACAACGGTCTGGTTTCCTTAGGAATCAAATGACAGTTTCTTTGAAGGTGCCCAAACGTTTTGCACCAAGCACAGGTAAATGGCTTCCATGCATATTCCACCTTAACTAATGCAATCTCACCACTTGGCATCTCTAGCTCAAATTCCTCCTTAAACTCTGTCGAAGAATCCATCTCAACGCACACTTGAGCAAATTCAAGCCTTTCGCCCGATTCGATAATATTGTCCATATAAAGAGGGGTGTCTATTACACTTGCTATATGACTTAAACCCTTGGGGGTCCATAACTCAAGAGGGATACCGTAGAATTTCACCCATGTACCCTAGTAATCTCATTCATGCCCAACGACAAATTAGGAGTTCATAACTTCAAAAAGAAAGGCTGCCTTCCTATGAACCATGGACCACCCTCCAACACATCCATTTTAGTAACCTCATCTGGGAACTTGAGCAAATAGCCCCCATGCCCATCTGAAGTGACCCCCACAGCTCCAAAACGACTCAAATTTCTATCAACATAGCTCTTTACTTGGTAAAACGACAATTTCTTCCCAAGGAAAAACCCGACTAGACAATTATTCCATTTGTCTATTCCTAAAGCCGCAATTTCAGTAGGGATTGAAATTCTAAACTTACCACCTTCCTTGCTCATATTTGGTTTGACATATTCAAGGGAAATATCAGACCTCTTTGAGACAAGAACACTTGTCCAAGCTCGTTTTTCCTCCCTTTTCACCTATTTTTCATCACCACAACCATTTGGCTTCTCAATTTTATTCCCTCCATCCACCACTTTGCTTGGGAGAAGGGGGTAATCCTTAGAAATCTCATCAACATTCGCTGCCATATTTTCATAAAATCTCCTCTTTCCATCAGAGCAGCTCCGTAACTTTGGATTGAACTCACCTTTAGCAAATAACACATCATTTTGGCCTGATTTTTCTATAGCAATAGGTGCCCCTACAACCTCCCGACCCTTATCCACACCATCGTAGATTGTGTCCTTCCTATTTTCACCTACCCTTGAAGAAACTCAGTTACCCTCCAAAGCACTCTTGGATTCAACACAAACAACTTCTCTATCCACCCTGTTACAAACAGAGAACTGATTGTAATTTTCTTATGTATTGCATTGACAAATTATACATCAATATATAGGAAAATAAAGAACTAATCTAGGAAATAAAAAATCTAACTTCTTATTTTACAGATTTGTTCCTATTATGTATTGATTACAATCATAATATCCTATTATAGATTTATTCACTTAATCATGCAATATCTGTAAGATTTTGCATGATTATCTACAACAATCTACAACACTCNTAGTTCTATTCTTAATCTTTCAGTATCTTGTCTGCACAGGTTACTAATCAGCTAGAGCAAAGATGTTACAAGGATTTACGGAATGAGAACTTTTTATCTGTAAAAGTTGTGGCCTGCATCTATAAGAAATTCTTATCATCATGTAAGGAGCAGAAGTAAGTGTGATGTATTTTTCTTTTCTATTCTTAATCTTTCATTGTTCTTTATTCTTCAAAGTTGGGAGCTTCAATAACCTAATCGGAAAAGGTTTTTCTTGATTTCTAGGCTAGGGTTTCATATGTCAATAGATTTGAGTTGACTTTTCTCTTCTATAGTTTTTGAAACTTTAGGACAGCTTTTCCTTCTTTTGTTGGTCAGCTTGTTTGTTATTTTTTCATAATACAAAATTTCTTGTTTCCTGGAAAAAAACAAAACAAAATACTATCAATGATTTGCATAATACTCCTTGAATTAAAAAATTGGCGTTGTAGACAATAATGGATACAACATGACTCGTGTCTAATTGTGCCTAATATTTACATGTGTAGTTACCATTACCAAGGAATGTACTTTTACCTGGCTTCAAAAAATGCATATGTTTTTATTGTCAAGAAACATGAAAATATTATTATGAACTTCTTGCTTTAAACATTACTCCATTTTGAAGTCTAATGCTTTTATGTTTGTGTTTTTTTAATGTCGATGATTATACTTTCTCTGAAGGCATAATGAATGATTTAATATCCTTGTTAGAAGAGGGCAAGAAGATTGAAAGCAAGCTCATGTAGGAAACTAAGTATACTGAAGATATGTTCTTGTCACCTATGATACTGTTTATTATTTGGTATTAAGAGTACATTTCCCCTTTTTATTTGTGGCTGTTGGATTTCCTAGATGTACTATATTTGGTGTACCAGCTCTAAAATTAAATTCAAAATCACAAATTTATTCTAGATTTTGTTTAGCTTTTGATACCCCAATCAGGTTTTTTGTGCTGATTTAGCGGACACCTGGTGCACATATTAGTGTATTACTGGAGTGCTGGAATGCAAGCTCTCGCAAACATGGTACAGTTTATTTACCTAGTGTATTGCTTTGTGAATGCACAGACTTAATGCACATTCCTGCTGGAATGCAAGCTCTCTCTAACATGGTACAATTTATTTGCCTAGCTTTGTAAATGCACATTTAGATACACATACAATCAGACTTAATGCACATTAATCTTTATGGCCAATTCTTTTAAGTTTCTTTTTATAAATTCTTCTTTCTTGTGATGCTTAAAATCTATTTACACAGACTGTTGTAATTTAAAATATTTTTATGCAGACTGTTGTAATTTAATTGGTTTTTGGTACTTATATTTGCTTCAAAATGCCTTAACCATTTTTTAGCTGTGTAGACTTTTTTTGTAATCTTTTACTTTTTCTTACTTCTAAACTTTTCTAAGGCATTTGATGAGAGGACTTAACATGATTGCTGAAGTATGGATTTGGTAAGGTTAGGTACATAGGAGTCCAAGTCCTACACTTCTAGTCCTTCTTACATGGGAGATAATAAAGACCTAATCAATTTTAATTAAAATCTAACTAAAACAAGACAAGCTAACCTTTTTGTGAATAAGAATAATTTTTGGCTTTGGACTTGCATTCCTTGTTTAAGAATGTGGGTGTGGCATCACTTTTTCCTGCTTGTGGGAGACAGTGATTGAACATGAAATCTGCTTCTAGTAGCAAGCTGGTTCTCTGCATTACCTTTTTGGATCACATTGTCTGTCACTTCTTCTACTTGTCAACAGGCCCCTTTATCAGACTCAGAAGATGTTGAATTGATTTTATCAATTGGACTTTAATACATGAATAGATAATTATTAAATTCTTTTCTCATAACTCCAACATATTCTATTGACAAACTTAATTATTTTTTGGTTCAAATGTAGAGATTTCATTTGTTAATGTTATGCCACTTTTAATAATCTTTTCTCGCTTCCTATGCTTAGGTGTGGTTCATGGGTGAGCAATCACATATCTCAATGGACTTTGACAATGTGAGTTTGCTTTTCCTCTTGTTGGTTCTTATTAGTGTTTTTTTCTTACGTGATATATATAATTAATGTCATCTAGTTTAGAGGTGAATTTTGGGAAACATTTTTTTTCCTTATTATATTTTAAGTTGGACTATGAGGTACACTAGCAAGTGTGCACAATGTTTGCTTTTCATATTAATTTGAAGTAATTTTCCATTCTGAAATAGATTATTTCCGTGACTTTGGAGAATGATACAACACGTGAAGTGAGGGTTTATAATAAGAGGCGTGGGAAGAAGCACTAGGGAATCAATTGTGATAAAGGGAGCAGCTAAAGTGTGAAGAGAAGCAAAAAGGTGGAATGGACAGGCGGCGACAGATAACTGGCTGAGAATTGAATTCTGTTAGGGAAGGAAATGAATAAAAGGGAGCAGCAGAGGTTGAAAAGGCATCAAGAGAGAATAGAGTAAAAGGGGAGGTAGCTGGCCCTCGAAGTCCAGCGTATTAGTTTCCATTTATTTTCATTGTTGTTTGTTGATTGAATTCTGGTGTTGAGATATAGTTCATACGTGAATGTAATTCTGAACTTTGCCATGGAATACATTCTTTGAAGTTCTGGATGTTTTAGAGTGTTTACAATTAATGGTTGAATACTCTGATGCTGGTAATTTGTGGATGATTGAATAGTAAAACGGAGTGGGTTCGCAACAGAGAACTACCTCGATCTTCAAATTAAACCAGAGGATGGTAAGGAAGGGAGGCAACATTCTCAATCTCTGGACCAGTGTGTTCAAGGGGTGCTTAAAGGAGAATCTCATGGCTCATCTTTTCCAGATATGAGTACGAGGGTTTCTTCTCTCCAGAACCTTGTGACTAATCCTGATATGTATTCAACAACGTAAGGCATCTATTTTTACTTCTTGGGTATATATTCTTTATATAAGGAGATTTCTTAAATGTAGTTAACATACTTAACTTTATATGCCAATTTTAAAGTGACACTTCCAAGAGCCTCTCTTGCTGGTCCAAAGTTTGCTTGAATAATATAGCTAGGTTGGCTAAGGAAGCTACAACAGTGAGGTGTGTACTTGAACCCCTTTTCCATCATTTTGATGTAGAAAATCATTGGTCATCAGATACAGGAGTTGCTTGTTTTGTTATATTGTACTTGTAGTCTCTTTTGGAGGAATCAGGTTACATATGGAATCTTAATGCTCCATCGTGTTGCAATTATTTTTTTTTTAGTTTTTCTGTGGATATAATTGATATGAACTTTTTTTTTTGTTTAATCTCCAGGAGGAAACTCCCACCTGTTGCTATCTATCTTGATCAAGCACTTGGATCATAAGAATGTTGCCAAACAACATTTGTACAGATTCATATTGTTGACGTTGCCACACAACTCATGCAAAATGCAAAGTTGCAGGCCTCTGTTGCTATCATTGGTGCAATAACCAAACTTGATTAAACAGTTGCGAAAATGCCTGCAAAATACAGCTGAATTATCTAATGCTGTGGATGATATGGTTAAATGGAATGCTGGTCTTCAATATGCCTCAGAAAATTGCATTTCAGAGCTGTCAAAGAAGGTTTGTGATTGTTTATGTTTTTTATTTTTTGAAGTGTGAGTTAAAAATATTTATGCAGGCATGCCATATATGCAACTGTTACACAATTGTTTGTACTTAACGGGTTGGCAATGCAGGACCCATTCTTGATATGATGTCTAGTTTGCTAGAGAATATTTCAAATAATACTGTTATTGCTAGAACAACAATCTCGGCTGTTCATAGGACTGCTCAGATTGTCCCTTCCATCCCGAACATATCATATTAAAAGAAGGCAAGTGTACTTGTTGAAATTGCAATATACTGTTCAGTTTTCAGAAATTTGAAGAAACATCTAGGGTGCGTTTGGTTCAATATTTCTACCCGTATTCCCAATCTTATTCCCCAAATATTGTTTGGCACATTATTTGAGAAATATTAGTGTATTTTTTTAATTACTTTTAGACCTCTTAAGTTTATTAATTTCATTAAAGACCCCCAGAAAAAAAAGTTTGAAAATTAGCAAAAACACCCCCACCACCCATACTTGCCAGATTCTAGCAGTGTATTTTTTTAATTACTTTTAGACCCCTTAAGTTTATTAATTTCATTAAATACCCCCAGAAAAAAAGTTTAAAAATTGGCAAAAACACCCCCACCACCCATACTTGCCAGGTGGTAGCCGGAATCTGTCTCAACGGCTTACACCACGACCGGAAATGGCCGGTTATTCACCGATCTGGCCATCAGCGACAGCCAAAGATGGACCTTTGCGACAGTCGACGACCACATCTGGCCTTTTTCGGCCAGATCTGTGGTGGATCTAGCCGGAAACCAGTCTGTGTCGTAACGCAATTTTCTAGACAAATTCCAGCGATGGTGGCCGGAATCTGGTACTGCGGGTGGTGGGGGTGTTTTTGTCATTTTACACAATTTTTATATATTGGGGTGTTTAATTAAATTAGCAAACCTAAGGGGTTTTTTAGAAATTTTTAAAGTTTACCTCGTAATACTCCCCTATTCAACTACCTAATATTATTCCCAAAATCCTATCCAAAATAATAAACCAAACGCACTCCTAATTTTTGAGGATTTCTGTTTCAGGCTTTTCCTGATGCTTTGTTTCATAAGTTACTCCTAGCAATGGCTCATTCGGACCATGAAACTCAAGTTGGGGGGCATAGTGTGTTTTCTGTTGTGCTAATGCCATCTCTGGTCTCCCTTTGGTCATATTAGGGCAAGGATACTTCACAAGCTGTTTCTAGCATCTTGCCAGTCCCTGCGTCACAGAAAGTAAGAAGTGGAAGTTTCTTCTTTCAGGATGAAGGTAAAAAAAAAGAAAAACTCGTGGATGGAGGACTGCAAGAGGAAAGTCGGGTACCAGCTGTGAATGTGAAACACTCTCATAGTCAGTCATATAGCTTTAAGTGTGCTCTGACTAATGGAAAAACAGGATGAAACCCCAAAATCCTATAATTTTAAATTTAAAGAGTGTTTTAGAAATTCTGTTTAATCATCAACTTCCTTCTGACTGAGTAGCCATCAAGTGAGTCTTTTGCTTTCTTCAATCTGGGTTCAAGCAACATCTGTAGAAAATAACCTTGCAAATTTTAAGGCTATGGCTCACACTTATAACGTTGCGTTATTGTTTACGCGATTTAAGGTGATTCATGTTTATGTTATTTTCCATTGTTTTTACTTTTATACCCCCTGTGTTCCTTTTTCAGATATTTTGAAAAAGTGGAATAGATTTTGCATGGTCTCATCATTTTTCTTTGAGTTTTTATGGCATGCCTGAAGTTTGATAATTTTTTTTGTGTACTTTAGTACTGTACTTAACATCCGTGGTTATCATTTTGGTGATGACAGACATCCAGCCACACGACCTTAGTTCGGTGTTTTCAGCTTGCTTTTTCACTTCAGTGCACCTCTTTGTACCGAGAAGGTAAGTTGCATCTAAAAGAAATGGTTTAATTCATGTTACAACTAAGCCATTTAAGAGAATATTAGTTGGGTACTTTGGATCATCTTGAATGTTTTCTTTTCCCATCCCAGTTATAAAATGGGTAAAATTACATTGATGGCCTATATGACTTGGTAAAAGTTGATGATACTAAAGATATGCAGCTCACCTATAATCTGATTCAGTTTATGCTATTTAACACCAACGCAAATGTCCATTTAAAACATTTTTCATGATATGATTTGCTGCCCCCTCACCCCTGCCCGCTCACCGGCAAGTGGGACCGCCGCCCACTCACTGGGGAGTGGGACCCCTGAATGCGTCTATGTAGTGGACTTCAAGCCCATGCAAAGTATGAACCATAACTTTTAAAGTTAAGCTGTAATAGTAGCCTTTACCAGATTTGAATTAGCTCAGTGCCCTATATGCCTTAATTTTCGTTTGAAATTACTCTGATGTTTTGGTTCACTAATCTGTTCATTCCAAAGGCATTAGATTAGCTTTAGTAAAGCAGGGACATAGTTCTTTTGTTTTTTTGTTTTTTTTTTTTCTCTTAGAAAACTTTTCTTCTTCTTTCTATATAATTACAAGTTGCTTTGATTTCTATGGTTACTAGTTCATTCAGTTGACTCTAGCCAGTGGGTTTTGGGCAACTCCGTGAATTTGGTGAGATATACCTCGAAAACAGTTGGTAAGAATCTTTACATTTTTTTTTAAGCTTGCATCATGGTAATGTATAAATGGTTTGGAGTGTTTGTTACCTGTTTTAAGGGGCCTGTTTGCATATGTCTTGCGAATACATACCTGCATGCATACATATATTCTATCTAATGGTTTATGTTCTCTCTCTGAACAAATATCAGTTAGCTAAGCAAGAACTTTAGTTTGGTTGGTCATCGTGATTTAGATGTGGGTATGTCTGCATTGAGTTCACTTGGCTTTACAATGGTCTCTTTGCTTTGGTTTGATTTGGTTTTACCCATATGAAAGTTTTGTGGTTGTCTATGGAGTTTGAGCTTTGTTACCGTGATTAGTTGTTTTGATTTAGAAGTGGCTATTGGTATGCATTGAGTTCTATTGCAAGGTTACTTTGCTTTGTTTTTACCCATATGATATTTCAAGTTTTTATCTAGATTTGAGCTTTGTTGGCTCAGTAAGCATGTTACTTTGTTAGCTATTATAAGTTAGTCGTATGCGGAATATTTTATTTGATAAATATAGTACTGTTAGAGTGTTGAAGACTAAGTCGTAGTGCCTCTTAGAGGCGGTTCAATTGTGAGCAAATAATTGATTAATAGCTGCAGCAACACAAATTTTAGTGGTTTTTGTCTCTTTAATAGATTTAGCCATTAATATTTGTGTCAAATCAAAGATACGTGTGAATTTTTATGAAATATTGCTCTTTTTGTGACTCTATAGAGCCAACTGCTTCACGTCCTCGAACTGAGATAGTGGGAAAGAATGAATACTTTTGTTTTGGTATGAGAGATTTTCTTGGGATAGAGGCATCCTTCATGCAGGTCTGTTAAATGATTATGCTTTTCCTTCAATTTTTATTAGGATTTGGGTTGGCTTTTAGACCATCAACCTCTTTTGATTAAAAAATAAGTTCTTCCTAGTTAATGTTTGCTCTGATACAAGATTTTATGAAATTTCCTTGAGATATTCAGGAGACATGGTTAGAAGCAACCAATATAGGTGATTTAATATAAAATGATTTTAGTTCTAAGAAACTTTTGTTGAGCAATATTTGCATCCAATTGTTAGACAGGTCTTCCTCACTAATGCAATTGACTAAATGCTTATCAGTTGAATGTACCTTTACAGACGGAGGAAGAATTGCTCTCTAGTTGGTGGAACGAGTATGTAGAATGTAGTGAAGGTCCAAAGGAACAACCTCGTTCCAGTAAGAAATTGGAAAAGCAACCAAGTCTTGCTTCCTCATAAATTACTCTATCATCCCAGCTATATGAAGAAGAAAGGGTTGGAGTTCCTGTAAAGGGAGGACTTTATGAGGTAACCCTTTTTCTGAGGTTTCTGCTGTAATTGTTGTGTGTGTTGAGTAAGGGTGAAATATGGCTTAAGACATGATTTATTAACTTCTTAGTATTATTACTGTTATTTTTTGTCATGTAGATCTGGATGCCATGTTTCCTGTTCTTTATTCATTTAGTTATTTTAAGAACTTATGTTTTGACCTTTTTAATTATTTATATATATTCTGGTCTGCAAAACTCTGAAGTTTTGAGGCAAAACATTTTAAATTTGATTTTTAATTATTGATTTATATTTAAGAGCCGTCTTTTTTATGACTCACTCAGAGAATACTTCTGAAGATCAATCCTTAAAATGTTGCAGGTAGATTTGGTAAAGAGACATTGTTTCCCTGTTTATTGGAATGGAGACATCGACGTGTTTCTAGAGTCATTGTTTGCTCGTAAGGGCCTTTTGGCTTCCACGTGAAGATGTTGCTGAGTAGAGATTGCTATCGTAGTAAGTGTGGTGCAATAATCTGATACTGTGAACGATTATGTTATTTGATAGTGGAATCTATATAGACCTTTTCCTAGTTCATAATGTCAGTATGCCTGTGATTTGTATTAAGATGACCTCTGGGGTTAGGAAACTCATTATGAAGTGTATATATAAAAGCTGATGTTAGATTGATTCCTCTTTATATATGCAATTTTAGATGCGATGGCTTTCTGACATGCAGTCTGCAGTTTCTTTATCTTTTAAGTTGTACTTTTATTTTCATTCTCTCCTTTAATTAACTGCATTATTAGCGTTGTTTTACCATTTTTGTATGGAACAGTAAGAAGTTTGCTTTCCCTAGGTTTGGCACCGAGAAGATTTCAACCTCTGGACTTTTTGCAGCTCGAGTTGATTTACAAGGCTCTACCCCAGTAGTAATTGCCTGGTGTGGGGAATTTCCAATACCTGATTTGAATGTCTGCTGCATATGTATAGAAAAGATTAATGTACTTTGAGGTTGTGCTGTAGGAACTTTATGCACTTTTTATTGGCGAGGATGATACCTGGGAGTCTTGGCTCAATGTTGATGCTTCTGGTTTTTATGGTGTCATTAGTTTCAGTGGAAATGGAATTAAGTTAAGGTGTGGTTATTCGAAATCCCAGTCAAAAAAACCAAGCCAGGTCTCTAATCTTTCCCTTTTTAAATTTTTACTAGCATAAAAACTTCTAGCATCTTCATTTGTGCCTTACGCTTCAGGAATATGTAATTAGATCCTGGTTATGGAGTTTAATAGCATTTCTTTTCTTGGAATATATTATAAGTAATTTATGCTTGATTAAATAAATTCAGTTGGAACTTTCTGTCTTTCATCAAATTGATCTGCTTCGGTTTGAAAATACTTTTGACTGGTGGGCATTATTTTTTTTTTAAAGAATTGGAAGTAATGTTATTTATGTGTTTTCCAACTACATTCAGGAGGAATTGCATCAGCAGAAAGAAGAGGAAATGGATGATTATTGTTCTCAGGTATGGAATCTGACATTCTGAATCTTATTCTTATTTGTCTTGTTTTCACCATTAAAATTATGCATGCCATTGTTAAGTTTCCCTAAAATGCAATTTGGCAATTTTTTCTTGATTATTAATTTGAATATTATCTTTACAAATTCAGGGGTTCTTTTGAATAAAAAACATGAGGTTTTATTTGGGGAGGCTAAATTTGTCATATTTGTAAAAAAGTCAAGGCATTGTCTTTTTTTTTGTAGACAATGATCCTTGGGTAGGCGATGGTGATTGAGTGAGTAGGCAAATATGTATTAAATCCTGACGGGGGACATTCTCTAGGAGATAAACTAACACGAGTATATGATTCACCTATCTTAGTATTATAACATGCTGGTCATTGTATCTAAGTGTAGATTATATGAACATCAAGTAAAATATAAGCGATAGACGCAAATAACATTACATCAATAAAACACCCGCTAGTGTTGGAATATTTGTGGGCCTATAATGAAACCTGTTGTTCTCAGTTTTTTATGGATTAAGTGATGCTTTCGGTGCCTTTAGATGCTAGCATCTACTGCCATGTATTTGCCATGATCATGTTTATGGAAAGAATTAGGGTACCAAGAAGCTTGGCAATTTACAGTGGTTCTTATGAATTTAAAACATATGATGAATTAGAATATATATTCAACTTCTATTTATTTTTATTTTTTTGGTGTTCAATTCAATGGTTTTTTTCATGTTCTTTTAAATGTTATAAATCTTGTTTAAATAAAAAGTTAAATGTGTTTGTGTTCTGTCTTCATTTTGTAACTAAATCTAGGTAATGGTTTGTTGTTGTCTTTTATGTTCTCTTAGTAAAAGTAAATGTCCTTTGTATTTTAAGTGAGCTTAAGTTTAGCTAGTGATTATGACTTATTTAGTTGCACATTTTTATTTTTGCCCTTCAATTTTGGTATTGAATTATTATATGATGATATCATCTAAAATATGTTGTCTCTGTTGGGTAATGATTGATTTTTAAAGTTAAAAGCTAACAGGAACAAACAACAGTAATATTTAAGGTCTAACATGTCCTTTGATGTGCTCAATTAATTAATTGAGTTGTTATGTGGAGCCAACCACAAGCCTCGTGGATACTATTTAAACTAGAATAATATGTTTTGAGTAGATTTTAATCTTGTATTATGTGTTTTGATTGATATAGGTTCCAGTTAAGCACCTTGTCTTTATGGTACATGGTATTGGTCAGAGGTTGGAGAAATCTAATTTGGTTGATGATGCCGGCAACTTTCGCCATATCACAGCAAGTCTTGCTGAACAACACCTTACTACACGCCAACGTGGCACCCAAAGAGTTCTTTATATCCCTTGCCAGGTGAATAAGAAATTATTTTGTACTTAATTGACTCTCTCTTCTGTATGTAGTTTGATTCCCTTGTGTCAATTACCCATCTCAAGCTGTTTAGAATCTGAAAATGCATAATGTTTGATGCAGTTTTGATGAAATTAGGCTCTTTTTTATGTAAAGCTAATATGGGCCGACGAGTTTGTAGATGTGTGTTTGTGGATACAGGCTCTTTCTCTCTCAATCTCTCTTCCGTTTCTGGAAAACTAGAAAATTATGTGATCATATTGTTAATAGGTTATGTAATTGCTTCATATTCAATGAATGAGGCATGCACATTTTGTATATTATGTAGATGATGAAACGTTTTTATGGCATTTCAATATGCCTAGTTTTTATTCAATTTGAAAGTTTCTTTTTATGTTTTCTAATTAGAAATGATAACACCATGTCGTTGTGAAGCATATCTCTTATTTGTCTATTTTTACAAATATACCATCATGTCGTCACTTATTCTTAATTGCTTACTTTTTGTCACGTGGAAATTTGTAATTATTTTCCATCAGGAATGATTTTTACTTTGGGCAGTTTTCATAAATTTTTAGTCTACTGCCATCAGTTTGGAATCGTTTAAAAGAGTCATGTAATATTGAACTTGATTTCTGTCAAAATCAGTATCTCAGGAAGGATTGAATTTATCTTGTCAATCTGAACTGATACGAAACAGTATTGGGTTTGGGCTCCTGAAATGATCTAGTAATCATTATAAGCCGGCTGGATATCAGTGATTTGCTACATAATTTTGGTACTTAACTAAATCTTCTCTCTTTTGTTTTCTGATATTGTTGTCATTTTATATGCTGAAGTGTGTATTCTCAACCACTTTATATTTTTTTCCATAGCAAAATCTTCTCTCTTTTTTTCTTATATTGGTGCTATTCGGTACATTGAAGTGTGTTTCTTATGCCACTGTATTTGTGTTACAGTGGAGAAAACGTTTGAAGCTCAGTTGCGAAACTGCAGTTGAAAAGATTACTTTAGATGGTGTACGGGGTTTCCATGTCATGCTGAGTGCAACAGTTCATGATGTGTTATACTACATGAGCCCCATCTACTGTCAGGATATTATCAACTCGGTACTGCTTATCTTGTTTCCAATTTCTCACCTTCTCTTCTTTCATTTCTATTTCCCAATGACTAAGCTGTTTCATTATTCAACTATAAAGCTTATTTCAATCCAGGTTCCTTGTTTAAAATGACATTTTTCTGCACAGGTTCATGATAGTCTTTCTAAAGCTTTAGACCATAATTAGATTGGTTGTTTTGTAGTAGTGGATACCTGATCAACTATCTAAGTTTCTCCAAAGCAGTATACGTCTAAGTTTCCTATCAAAAAAAAGTTTTAAAATTGCTTCTCATCCTATGCACACTAAACAGGAACATTGGTCTGTTGGAGATATCTTGAGCATAGACAGTCACATTTTCTTTTGGCAAATATTATGCTCTAATTCTTTGTAGTCTTAAAAAAAGAAAAATTTAGCTGATGTCTTGAGCAGAAAACAGTCACATTTCAGCCTGTTAAGGTTGAAATTTGAAATTTGTTTGAAGTTTGAACTGATGAAGATGCACTTCTGCTCCTCCAGGTTTCAAACCAATTAAATTGGTTATATCTGAAATTTCTTAAACGAAATCCTGGTTATGACGGAAAGGTATGCAGCTAATATCTCTTTGTTAGGCTGTAATGATTAAGTGACAATTTAGCTTATATTAACATTTGTTTAGGTTTCTATATATGGTCATTCCTTGGGAAGTGTCCTCTCGTATGACATCCTCTCCCATCAAGAGAATCTATCATCCCCATTTCCAATGGATTGGAGGTACAAGGAACAACAAGATACCATTGAAGAATCTTCCCATGCTATGAACAATCAACCTTCTAATGGTGGCTCTTCAGCTGATCTGAAGGGTAAAAGCTCCACTAAGACAAATGAATCTGAGGATAAGGTGGGGTCTGCTGATGAGGACAAGATTTGATGAGTGTACAATCAACTCATCTAGAGCACGAGGAAGCACCTGCTGAAGATTTTTCTTCTCTTGTGGGTACTGTTGTGTCAGATACTGCAACAGCTATAGACTCTGAGCAAACAGCTAAAGAAGATATGGTCATAAGTATGGTCACATCTTGTTTAACGAGCCAAGGATATAAAATTGACCTTTTCATGCCAGATACTTTTTGTGAAATCTTTGGTTCATAATGATAAAGTGGGCTTGGGTAGAACTCACTCCCAAAAGTTAGCTCAATGGAGGAGGGAACCCAATCACTTATATATACTATAACAGCCAACTATTGAGGCGATGTGGGACAAATTCAACTTCTAACACCCTCCCTCACGCTTGGCGTGCAAGGTCAAGGTCCAAACCCAGTATCGCCTCAACCAAAGAGGGGAGAGAAACAAACGTGGCTCTGATACCAAGATAAAGTGGACTTGGATAGAACTCACTCCCTAAAGCTAGCTTAATGGAGGAGGGAACCCAATCACTTATATAAACTATAACAACCAACTATTAAGGCGATGTGGGACAAATTCAACTTCTAACGCATAGTAATAAACACCACTTTTTAATGAAATTTTCTGTGTTTTAGATTGATTCCCTGGAATCCAAAATAGCAGAGCTGGAATCGTACAATCAACGTAGAGGTACGTGTAGGCTTGCATTGGGTTAATCTTTGATCTTCACATTCTATTTTTGGTTCTATGTTATGGAAGGGGCTCTTGTGTCTTAATATCTCTGGGTTTTATTGGCTGCATAAACAGATAAAAATGAGTTGCTTGCCACTGAGCCAAAGCAATCCATTTCTGAGAAGCTTGAACCTATGCTAGATGATGAACCAAAGAGTTATACCCCTTATATTAAGTACACAAAGCTCGAATTCAAGGTCAGAAACAGAACTTCTTACGAGCTATAAATTTAAGATGGTGAATCTTGTGACTGATTTGACATTAATTCTTACATATCAGGTTGACACATTCTTTGCTGTTGGATCAGCTCTTGGTGTCTTTCTTGCCCTCTGAAATACCCGTATTGGAATAGGTAATCCACAATACACTTGTATGATTGAAATTTTGATGAGTGAATATTCTCACTGTTGCGACATGACATTCAGAGAAGTATTTTGTATATTTGTAAATATTTATATCATTTGGCCATGGGTGTGGATAATGAAGTATACTTTTGTTCCTCACGGTTTTGAGAAATGCTTTCATCTTTAGAATCTCATTAGATCTTTACTGAAGTTTAAAGGTTTTCACGTTTTCGTTATTGGACTTGATTTTACATCAATTTGAGTGGGAAATTCAGGATAAATTATGATTAGTTAGAAGAATTTCTTTTCATTACTTTGCTGGTAACTTTGGCAGTTTTTATTATATGTTTTTTTAGAAGCTCATAGATATGTAATATGTAATAAATTCTTGTGTATTTTGCTGCTAGTTCAGGCAACCATGCATTTTCAACACAAAAAATTCGTATTTTCAACCATCCTCTAAACATCTTCATCTTTTGTTGATTTTAATTTTAGTTTCTGCTTTTTTCTTTGGAACTTCTATTATACTTGCTTCCATACTTGAAGCTCTAGAAATCCAGTTTTTTAGTTGTTTTTTCCTTCTCTGTTCAGGAGAAGGGCAAAGATTATATGGATGAAGAAAATATAATTGAAGAGATGCTGGTTTGTCGTCAAATGTTCAACATTTTTCACCCATATGATCCTGTAGCATATAGGTTTGTCTTTGCACATCCATATCAATGCTACAGTATGCTCTATTTATTTTTTTCTGACCTTTTAAGTGGTGGACTGTATTTCGCCATAAAATGCTGCAATAATGGCATGTCAATTATTATTTGAAACACCTCACTGACACTGTGAATGCCTGTGAATGTAATGAGGAACCATTTTATTTAACGTTTCGAAATCACCTTTGGTTTTTGCTAAGCAAAGAGAAGTAACAGTGGGAATTATATGATAGATTTTGACTATTTAACTTTTCTTCATGAATAAGATTGTTCTTTTTTGTTTATACATCTTAACTGGGAAGAGGTTTTGGGTTAATATTTATAATTTGGTTTCATTTGGCCAGGATAAGGAAAATTATCACTGCATAGTTTTTATTTTCTTCTCTTGTATAGATTTGTTATCCCTACCCTGATTTTTTTTGTTCTTTTGTTGGCAGCTTGTCCACCGGTGTAACTCATGTTGTTCCAATACATATTATCAGTTTCTTATAAGAAAAATCACCATCTGTTTATTCGGACTTTTTTTGTATATGTGAACAAAGTTTAATGAGAAACTTGATGTGAACATTTTAAATGTCTATTAGGTAATAGTAAAGGTAGAATAAACAAAAATCAAGAATATTGGAAAAAAGAGTTTAGTCTTTTGCTATTTCTCCCTGTTTCTTTTTTCTCTCTCTCTCTCTCTTTGCTCTCTTACAAGTTTATGGTTTTTTCTTCCTAATGTCCCACCTTTGCTTACATCCTCTTGTTAAATCAAATTAAAAAATATTTATTTGGTTCAAAGTTTGCACATTTGAGTATTTTATTAAATGCCACAAAGTCTTGCACAAGGTGAAAAGAATCCAGTAACTCATGTTACACATGCGTTTGCACATTTCTTGACTCAGAACAAAACCAATGTGACTATGATTATTTCGAATGCTTTATTTTTTGTGAATGACATGTATGTTTTTATATGTTTTTTTCTTTTCTATTTTTGTCTTTAATATTTATAAATCTGGAAAGTATTATGGATGTTGTGTTGTGGTTTCTTATACAGAGTAGAACCACTTGTTTGTAAAGAGTTCCTCACCGTACGTCCAGTTATTATCCCTTACCATAGAGGTGGAAAGAGGCTGCATATATGGGTTCCAGGTAAGCTCCCTATAGCACCACACAATTAAGGTTTTAAAATTTTTCCTCTTTCTCTCTTTGTGGAGCATTTTTTGTTTAAAAGAAATTTTCCCACTTTCTAATACATCCTTATATATGTGAGTTACGAATTTACTTAAGATGTAGCTGCTCGTTCTCAGGCAATAGTGGACCAATTCAACTCTGTAAGGGTGGGTTCTGATACTATTCATTGTTAGTTTCTCTTTTCAACTTCTTCAAAGGCATATTTCTTTTTTATCTTTCAGTTTTTGGGCTTATCTTGTTTTTTTACACTTACTATAGAGCATGATGGTGGTCAGGCTTTTCATTTCTCAACTTTGTAATATAGACTATGCTACATGTTTATAAACTGAGCTTTATTGGATTATGCTTTCACTCCCTTGCTCAGACTAATTAATAATGTCAATATATACATGCATAGTGAATATACAATGACCAGTTTGAATTTAGAGTTAAGTATTGTATTTGCTTCAGAATCAAGACTCATTTTTGTTCTTTATATCTCCCTCAGAAGTTAAAATTCTGTTTCCGAGAATAACTTTTATGATGATTAAATTCATCAGAGGTTCAACTTTGTTCGGTGTAGCTCTTTTTTTACTTAACCCAGACTGACTATACTCGTCGGAGTGTCATTTTTTTCCCCCTCAATTTGAATTAAATATTATGTATGTATCTAAGGTATTTGCTTCAGAATCAAGACTCATTTTTGTTCTTTATATCTCCTTCAGAAGTTAAAATTCCGTTTCTGAGAATAACTTTTATGATGATTAAATTCATCAGAGGTTCAACTTTGTTCGGTGTAGCTCTTTTTTTACTTAACCCAGACTGACCATACTCGTCGGAGTGTCATTTTTTTTTTCCCCTCAATTTGAACTAAATATTATGTATGTATCTAAGGGTGGTTTTTTTTGTTCACTGTTGGAGAATTTAATTTTGTTGAAATTCCGACTCAGTAGCTATTCATTTATATATGTTTCTATGTATATATATCATCGATGTATCAATTTAATATTAGTTGACCTTTAGTTCTTAAGTTTACCCAGAATTATCATATACATGTTTTGGTCTTTGGTTTCTGATCATGTGTGAGTATTGAAGCTCTGAGTTTTATGCTATTGAAACAGGCTAAAGTACTTATAGTTTGTCAATCGAGAAATGCAAATGCCCTAGAAGGTAATATAATCTTCTACTGCTATTGTTTTAGTGCTTTTTTGTTTCTTCATGTTGTCCTCCTTTTGCACATATGAGCAACAATGGCTGAAGGGACCCACCATTCTTGTACTTAGGGTTCCCTTCCATTGTTCAGTAGTAAAAAAGATAATATTAAAAGTAAACAACAAAGCCCTGATCCCATAAATGAAATTTCACTTAATCTATGTTGATTTCTTTTCCATATTTTTTGAATGCACTCAACAATCTTTTTGTGTATATTGCAGTTGCAGAAAATGCCGAAGAAAGAGAAGAAAGATCATATGGTGTTATAATGATGGAGACGCTAACTGGAAGTGCAGAAGGACGGATAGATCACATGCTTCAGGTTTGTAGTGCAGTTCGATGGTTGCATTTACTGCTATATCATGTTATTGCTAATTTTTGAGTGTCTATACCACTATTATTCAGGCTTTTAAGTTGATACCTACTACCCTCTATTGATGCCTATAATTAGTCATAAATTTGACCCATCATTTTCCCTCCTGAAGGTCTTAATGTTTAATATTGCTTAGCCTTTTTGAAGAGTTTATAATCTTAGTTTAAGGATGTCTTCCCTGCACAAAATTTAGAACAAAAGAAACGAGTTTATAAAGGCAACTAATTGCAATACTGTTGTCCTGTGAAACTATATCTCAGGAGCTTTCTAAATTCCTATGTATAAAGGTAACTACTTGCAATACTGTTGTCCTGTGAAACTATATCTCAGGAGCTTTCTAAATTCCTATGTATAAAGGCAACTACTTGCAATACTTGCAATACTGTTGTCCTGTGAAACTATATCTCAGGAGCTTTCTAAATTCCTATGTATAAAGGTAACTACTTGCAATACTTGCAATACTGTTGTCCTGTGAAACTATATCTCAGGAGCTTTTTAAATTCCTATGTATTGTTATCATCAGAATGTCATAGCTCCACTGTCATAAATGAATTATGTATCTGAAGCCCCTGGGAGTTTTTTTGATGGGCTATGAGGGTAGTTGGGATTTGGGAATGCTGGTGTCTTATTGTTTGTCAGTCCTTAGCTTCGTAGCCTCTGCTACCATTAATTTGCAAAATACCATGTGAACATAAATATTTGCCAATTGCCATGAGAAGAATGTTCAAAAGGTGATGGACACAGTATAAGATGCTTATTAAGTACATTGAGGATATGGAGTTTCCACTGTCGAACATTTTGCCTGAATGATTCATTGTTTATTAATAATAGACATGACATTTTACTTTTGTTTAACATATCATCACTGCTAGCTCATTTGTAGACTTCTTCTAATGTTCATATTGATAATGTAGGATAAAACATTTGAACATCCTTATTTAAAAGTCATTGGATTGCATACGTAAGTACTTTCTACGCTGAACCAAAATATTTTATCGTTTATAGACTACTAGGCTGTATTCAGTCTTCTTCTATACATTTTGATAACTCCATACTTTTTACCCAAAGAAATGTGGTATCTCAATAGTTCCCTCAAGGAAGCTTGTCATGCATGTTTGAGACTTATATGAAGCATATTTGATTACATCTTTGACATTTATCTTTCTGAGAAATGTGGAGCATATAATGTGTTAGAGTTTACAGTTGTAATCATAGAAAAGCCAGAATTAGTCAGTATAAAAGAGTATTCTGAAGACGTTATATATAGTTCATTGAATGGGGATTTATATATTTTTTTTCCAACTCCCCAATCTCATAACATTTTACACTTGTCACTTGATGGAAGTGAGATAAAATTTAGCTCTAAGACAACACCTTGAGAATTACCAGCTAAGCTAATTGGCCTTGAAGCAGCTGCACTCTGTTGCATCTTGATGGCATATGAATTTGCATTGTGATCATCACATGGTCTTGAAGGCTTCTTTAAACAAGGAGCATAAAAATTGTTTTTCATTAGAAATCAGAAAAATTACCCTTTCTGCTTTATGTGCTTGCATCGTGTTAATCATACGAACTCGTTAACCTTGCTTCTTATTAGCATTCATGTATAATTATTTTGTATGTTTGAAGAAGAAAGTAACCCTGGGTAGAATAATTAAACCAATTGAGCTTAAATGTTTTTAAAACAATAGCACTTGACCCTATCTGTTTATAACTTAATACTATATGGCTGTGTAGCTTCAGTTTTCATGTGATATTGCTTAATTTTGCTGAGTACATGTGCTTTTGCATGGGTAATATATATTTTTTATATAATTTGAGTCTGTGTGTACAGAAATTATTGGAGGGATTACAACACCGCCCTTTTCATATTGAAACACTTGTATCGAGATATACCCGAAGACCCTAATTCACCTGCATCTTCAAGTGAAGGCAACTCAAAGACCGAGAGTGCTTCCATTGGTTGGTCTGATCAAAGAGAGACAGCAGAAGAAGAACTTCCTCTGACATTCTCCAACAGAATGATGGTTAGAAACTTCTCATTGTGAACAAATTAAAAATATTTTCACAATTTTTATTTCTAACATCTAAAGTTCCAACACCGGACAGGATGCCTTTTCTCCCTCTCTTATTTTTATTTCCGGAGGTACACATTTTCTTTGAAATTTAAGTTTAATTTTTGTTTATTTTAGTCATAGTTTTATCAATCTGTAGTTGCTTTTTTTTTTTTTCCGTCTAATCAATGCTTGCTATTCCTTGAACACCATTCAATTTCTGCCAAATATTAAACAAACTGGTTTCTGGGTTTTGTTTAAATTCTTGCATTGTGTATTTCTTATGAATTTTGTAATGGGTTTTAAAATTTTTGAACAGCTCGTGTTGTTTTCAAAATGTTCACCATCTGTTTGTGGAATATATTCAATGAAATTTTGTATGTATTTATCTTTGGTAAAGGAATGAAAAAGCTCGGTTCAATCTCTGTGAACTGATTTTTTTTATTTTTTATTTTATGCATTAACGTATCTGATTATTTATGATTTGTAATGTGACTACAACTTAATTCATTTTGTTTTAACTTGATTCTACTTGATGTTTTGATGGTTTGTAAGTTGTGAGGCCTAGTTTTGTCAGTCCAGTACGTTGTGTTTGTTTTGTTATTTTGGTGGTGTATGCTTTCTTGATGTTTTCTTGGATTATAGTTTATCTATGTGCAATTGTCTTGGTTAGGATCTTGTGAGAAATGCTGTCGGTTATTGCTTTAACATAAAAGGGTAGTAGCAGGCAGCATCAATACCCGCAATCTAGACTCTTCGATCGTGGACTAAGGGTTGATTGAATGATGATCTAAAGGTCTGGGCAGGGGGCGATTTTACCTCCCAGTAGCATAAATTAATGGTGGTTTGACGAATTTTATGCATGTCTTCTTTTGTATGATTCTATGTGCATCTTGAAATATTGTATTTTCATGTTTGTTTGTGAAACTAGGATTGTGTTTGTGGTCTTAAAATATCTTTTAACTTATTGATGAATTTGTAGATATGTTGCTACTTCTGGCTATATTTTTTGTTTCATGCTATAATTTCCGTTACTACTTGTCAAATCATTCCTTTCCTCGGGCTTTGCAAGACTTGTTTTGTTACTGTATTTATTTTTTCAACTTTTTCTGTTTAGAAGATTTTTCGGTTTTGCTTACGAAACTTATCACTTTTTGTTGTTCCAGAGTAGAAGGAAGTAGCATAATAGCTTAAATTCATTTCTTATCAATTCTGCCAAGTAGAATTTCATTTGATCCATTCTTTGTGAAAAAGGGAACTAAAGGTCCCAATATTGCATTTTACTATAAACTATCAAATTATACTCTTCAAATCTCTAATATTACAGGAAATAAATTATCTTTAGTGCATTTGATTGGATTAGTATCATTGTATATGGTCATGCAAAGCATGCTCAGGGCTTCAAGGCATAGCATTGGCAACGATGATTTGCATGATAGTGCCAAGGTGTGAAACTGGAGGGACAGAAATGCGATGGAAAGTACATATTTATAAAATTAATTTATTAATGCAATCTTTTTCCTCATTAATCGTAAAAAAACATCTGTTTCAATTAATTTT